ATTGCACCTCCGGTGAAGGCTGAAAGAGACAGACAGTTTTGCTTGTGTTGATGGTGAGCCCGAATTTGGCCCCTGTCGAAGCCAGAGCACTAGTCATGTGCTGCAACTCATCCGCGCTGTGTGAAAACAACGCACAGTCGTCAGCAAACAGCAACATACGGATAGTTGTCTCACGGACTAGAGTTCTCGCACCGAAACGACGGATGTTCAGCAACCCACCATCAATACGGTGCTCCACACGAACACGGTAAGCACAAGCGGCATCAAAAGCACAAGACATGATTGCATGAAGATAAATATTAAATAGGGCAGGTGCTAAGACACAGCCTTGCTTCACACCAGAGACAACTGCAAAGTCATCCGAGGTCTCTCCACTCAGCTGCACCGCTGCCCGCATACCAATGTGCAGACATTCAATTAAACTTACAAACTTACGAGGACAACCAAACTTACCCAACACCAGCCACAATGCCTCGCGGTTCACCGTATCAAATGCCTTGGTGAAATCAACAAAAAGCGAGTACAATGGCTGGTGTCGTTCTCTGCACTTCTCTTGCAACTGACGAGCCGCAAGCACCATATCTATAGTGCTGCGACTCGAACGGAATCCACATTGCTCTTCCGCCACGTTTGGTTCCACAATCTGACTCACGAGGCGATTGAGCAGGATTCGGGCAATCACCTTGCCCACACAACTCAGCAAGTTGATGCCACGATAATTTGTGCAACATTGCTTGCTCCCTTTACCCTTGTACAGTGGTAGCACAAGGGCATCCTTCAGCTCAGCAGGCACCTCCACCTCAATCCACACGCGTTGCACTAAATGGTGCAGCGCAGTCAACAACGCGGGTCCGCCGTGTTTCAATACTTCAGGCGGGATCCCGTCGCCTCTGGCACACTTGCCGTTTCGCAGCTGAGCAAGTGCTCTCTGCGTCTCATCCAGTGTCGGCGTATCCGCCAGATCCGCCTTCACATCGTGCTGCTTCAGGCCGTTAAAAGTAGGCCAGTCGATCTCTGAACGGTTGTTCAAGAGACAGTCAAAGTGTTTCCGCCAGACCTGCATTATGTCTGCAGTCTGGGTGCAGGTAGCGCCTGAATTACCATCGATCAGTGTCCTCAGCGGCTCCAATCTCGGTCCATACACCGCCTTCAAGGAGTCAAAGAATTCCTTGTGTTGGCGGCGTTCAGCGTAGCATTCCATCTGCTTCGCCTTCTCCGTCCACCATGCATTTTTAATGCGACGGAGCTCTCGGGTCAGTCGCCGTCGAAGTTTGCGAAACTGACTCTTCTTCCCCAAGTCACTGGGGTCTGCCACATGTGCAGCAAATGCTGCATTCTTCTCCGACACCAATGCGCTAATCGTCGCATTGTTGTCATCAAACCAATCATGCCGTTTACAGTTTGCGCGCCCGATGGTCTCCTCGGCAGCAGCTGTCACCTGGTCGCGAATGTGGTGCCACAGGTCGCCCACTGTGGCTATGCAGTCCACATCACACAGGCGTGCAGCCATCGCCTTCTCCAGCTCAGTACGTTTCGCCACTGTACCGAGGGAGAGAATGTTAAATTTACGCCGATTCACGGCGGGAGTGCAATACATCGATTTACGAAAATATATGTACAGTTTGGTCCGCACCAATTTGTGATCAGTGCCACACTCAGCTCTATGCAGTACACGTGTCATGCGCACTTCACGCATATCACGCTGACGTACGATGACATAGTCGAGCAGGTGAGCGTGACCACTCCGTGGGTGCGTCCAAGTTGCTATATCACTCGCACTCAGTGCAAACCGAGTGTTTGTGATCGTCAGGCCGTGAGTGACACACAGTGAGAGCAGCCTGTCACCGTTCGCATTCGCTGAACCAATGCCATGCGCACCGATAACATCTGTCCACGCTGATGCATCACACCCAACGCGCGCGTTGAAATCACCCAGCAGAAATAGTCGGTCGCTCCTCGGCAGACCGTATCACGGAGGATAGCTCAGTGTAGAACTGATCACGCGTGTCATCAGGATAACTCATGGTCGGACCGTACGTGCTTATAAAAGTAGCAAACTTACCTCTTCCGAGTCGTAGGCGAGCAGTCATCAGTCGCGCGCTGATGCCCGTTGGTTCACCCACCAGCTGGCCATTCAGGCGATCGGATATTGCAAATCCGACCCCATGTTCACGTGGTGCTGAGGCGGCGTACCCCACCCAATAGAATGTGTAGCCAGCACCTGCTTCATGCAACTTACCTTGCTCAGCCACCCCTAGTTTCACTGAGCGCCGCAATATCGATGTGGTAGCGCGCCAGCTCCATTGCGACCAGTGCAGTGCGTCGCTCCGGGCGCTCGCTGGAGTTCCGGTCCAGTAGTGTGCGCACGTTCCAGCACCCGATGCTGAGTGCTTTGCGCGCAGGCATACGATTGCATTGGTGGGCAATCGCACGCGAGGTGGTCGTGCTTCGGAGGTTTGCTTGAGGGACTCCACCTGGAGCCTTTGGCTCAATAGCCTGACCCACAAGGCAGTGGGTGATTCGGAGGTTTGTTTGAGGGACTCCGCCCGAAGCCTTTGGCTCAATAGCCTGACCCACAAGGCAGTGGAGAGCAGATCCAGCTCGGGAATGTGATTGCAGAGACAGATTGGGATCTGCTTGACGGTCGTCACACGCAGCCTTTGAGGTTCTGGAACAGTTATCATATGTTTTGCGACCGTAATTGGATACGCACCTGCGACCACGGCCAGACGCAGGTGGGTTTTTGGTGGGTTTGCACCAATTTGACCAGGGGCTGCCTGGCTTGAGGCGGGCAGTAGCAAACCATTGAACACCCGGAGGTGTCCTCCCACCGTCAGAGATAATGCGTGGCCCTCGTGCTCTGCGCCAATCGAGCTTTGAGAATATCACCCGTAAACCTGTTGTCTCCCATGGCTAGGTTTTACGGGAAGTGGGCCATCGACCACTTCCTAACCTCCGGAGAGGATGGACTAGGATACTGGCAGGGGGCCCACACCTGACAGGAGAACGACTCAGGTCCTCAGCCAAAGCCTTCGATTAAATGAACACCCGAAAGGCAGCGAGTCTAGCACATGGTCAGTTAGCCGACTCACGCGGATTGGTGTCCTGGATCTTAGCAGGGAGAAGGGCGAAACCCAACTCCCACCCAGCGGTCGCCACGTGGAGGCGCCCAGGACATGAGACTATGGCGCAGCAGTAGCAGCAGTGGGTAGACCATCTGTCAGGATCTAGCCACCACCAGCCTCAGCGCACCATAGGCTCTCCCGCCACACACACAATGTATATATATAACCATATGTACACAGTTATATCTTAAGATTGCATGTGTCCCCGGAGATTTCGACTGCGCTTCTTTTGAAGGTGCAAAACATATACCGAGGAATATAAAGCTTTGGAATGACATTTTTACTGGCTCTTGTCTAGTGCGACTAACTCAACAAATCATGGACCACATCGATGGGTATGACAGAAGCATGATTCAGGAGTCTGATTTTCACGTTCCGGGTATGGGTTTCCACCCCATATATGGGAGCATTTTCACAAATGAGTAGCTACGCGCTACCGATTGTCAGATGGTTCACTATCTGGTCTGTTTGTAACTCGCAATCTCCGTATCTAGCTTGCACGGACCCAGGTGGTCTCTCCGTTTCCCGATCTCGCACGCGACTGTTGCTAGTCGTCACCGTGTATTGATATGCTGTTTTCCTTCTTAAACAACTTGCAATACTGTTTCTTACCCGGACCCGGTAAAGTTCCAGATATCCACTAGAATTGGACTGCATCAATTAGTCTGATTCACTTCTGGTACTGGTGTAACGATTAGTAACCCAAATAAATAATACCGAGGTGAACTTTAGTTGGCTTCTCCTGTTACCCTTCTGATTCGTTGTTTCCTACCGCTTTCTGCTACACTTTGACTGTCTATCGCTGCCTTGGGTGGAGTGTGTATTCGGGATTCTTTAGCGTTTCTTTACTGCCTTCGGCCTTCCCATCTCAATCTCTTGCACCTTGAGTTGAGCTCACGACCACTGCTTCCACGGTCTGTTGGTCAACTAATATTATGACATCGACATTCTCCTTCAAACCTCTGGCGTCCTGCATCGATTTGGCGAACACTGCGATTTCGTCCACAACTGACAAGCTGAAGCTATCTTATTTAATATGGGACTTTGATGGAATTACTTAAAAGATCATCGCAGCAACACCAGAAAAGTACTGCCATTCCTGTCCTTTGCAACGCTCTTAACTTACATAGCAGCGGATTATGAGCTACGCTATATTTCAGTTGCCTTGTAATTCATGACGTGCCGCCGCTCTCCGCCGTGGCCCGGTGGCATAAACTGCTGACTGGCTGTTCAAGCCGCTGGTGGTCTTCGCTCCGGATCCAGATGGAGCCGATGGATGCGCCCTACTGACGAGACCCAATAAGTCGAGATGGCCGTCAAGTTCTTTTCCAGGTATGCCGAGGGCCCTCCTATTTGGAAGTTGCTGCGATGAACTCTCAACTAATGGTATATTACTTCTTTCTCCAGTTTCCTACTGCTCGTTCAGCGCTCTTGCATATCAAACAGGCCAGTACTTGCGGTAACGTTCAATCCTGGTTGTTGGTCAAAATATGTGCCAGCCGATGGCGCATATTTACCTCATTTATCTATCGCTGTTTTGTTCCTCTTACTGCACCGTCAAATTGAGCAGGTAATTTTACAATTACTCACTTGGTGATTAATGTCATTTCATGGTTTGTTTGTTCTATAATGGCTTGCTCATCTTATCCGCCCTCCATCTCCGACAGCTTTCTAGAGGAATCCCCTCTCTGCATTTCAAACGCTGCGTCTTTACCTCCATGCGGAATCCCCTGTATCATCTGTTGAGTGACAGTAGTCTTTACCGCCTAAATCACAAAGACTCACAGAGGACTATGCATTTTTCATTTTCTCCCGGATTTATTTTCTCTTTTCCATTCTCTTTCATCCCCTTTTTGGATCCTTGTACCCTTTCAGCGATCTGTGGGCCTGCCGGATGTACATTCTGGTTATGGATTTGCAATCGGTAAGGATTGTGTTTATTTGTCATGTTCACCATCGTCCACCGTTTTGTTTTCTGATATACGTCAAGCTATTTTCATGAATCTACATGCTGAAGATAGAATTTGGCTGGTACCACTTAATCATTATCATGTGATTATAAAAAGATTGTGGCTCTGTAGGCTAGTTGTTGTCGAAATTTCTGTTCTTACACTTTGTGTACTGATGGACATTTTTGAAACTTCGTTGAATGGCGGGATTTTTTTTCTATCTGATTGACTTCATCATGACGCGCCGGATACCATTGTCCCGTAGTGATTACCCCCCATGTTGAGGCCGTTGCTTCATCTGCGCACACCAAGCAGCACATGCGGACACCGGTACATGCTTGCGTTGTATCGGATTTGAAGCGAGTCTCTCACCAACTCTTCTTCGAACGTAGTCGAAACAAAGTCGGTGCCGAAATTCAACAAAATTCGTGGATAAACGCTTTGCAGACGTGATATCTTGGGAGTGCTCGACAGCATTATGGGTCATAGTACGTGAGGGATTTTGAATGCAAGCGCATAAAAATATCTCTTACTCCTTCCTAACAGTAATTCAGTATTCCACATTTTCCATCACTGCTCATTTTTGTGAGCATCGGAGCTTTCACCTCTGTTTTCTCATTATGTGGCGTGCAATAGTACTGTTTCCTAAGCTCGATTGCTTGGTGTAATTTTGCCTTGGCTCATTGTCTGTTTACCTGTATATCTAGCTGTTAGTGTGCTCTAGAACTCTCTCCATCATCGCATTGCTGTTAGCCAAGACGAAACCGTCGGTCGTGGTGTGCAGGGGTGGGAAAGAGCCCCACCGAAACCCTCCACTTCGGTGACTGTCCCAGTGACCGTATTGGCACAGTTGCTGACTTCAAAGTCAACCATCGTCACTAGTGAGATTGCGCGTCGCAATCCAAGACACACGGCGGGTGCTCCAAAAAAAACCCCGAAAAATCTGCTACTTGCCTCATTTATCGCATTATAATGAGCGAGTAACCTTCGGTGATCCATATCAAGATGAAATTTATGCAGCTCGTTTTCATTCTTCTGGTCCTCGTTTGATTTCCTCATCCATGCGTCACGTGATTTTCACAATGCAGATTATTTCATTACCGCAAAGGAACACCAGTTAATTGCTAATCTGCTTCATAACTTTACCACTTTTTCGCGTTGTTTTTCACATATTCATCTTGACACTACTAAACTCCGATGGTGTTATCTTTCGTGAAGTAGGTTTACTCTGTGGCTGTTGCGATATTTTCCACTCGAGGCCAGGTGCTGTAGTAGTTAGGGCGCCACAGAGAGTTTACATTTTATTTTGATTGCTAGCCACTATGAGCAAAGTACACAAGAGATACAGGGGCGGTGGAATGCTATGTTAGGAGTGAACATCACATCATCTACTTTGCATAGTGTCCCGGTGTTTACCTCAAAACAAGTCACTGGCTAAATAGAAATGTCATTCACTCATTATACACGTCAGCTAGAGGTGGGAAACACCTCAGCTACTGTGCCGCAATACATAAAAGAAAAGGAAACTAAATATAAAAGTTGCATGCCAGCTGGGCTACCAGCAACGGATAGGCATCGTTCCGGTAAGCTACCAGCCGGCTACTAGGCAAGAAAATTATTATGTTTTACGCTACGAAATGAGATCGTAGGTGCAGTTGGAGGCTAAAAGGGATGGCGATGGACAAGGAAACTCACAGCAGGAACGCCACTGAGGTCGGCTCCTTGCCATGTCAGCAAGTGTATCCAGCCAAACGTGTTCACCGTATTTTGGACCCCAACCAGGGAGCCGTAACTCCGAAGTGACGGCCTTCATTTCTCTGAACCAAGTCATCGCTTGGCCACCCCTCCACTTCTTCCATCCACATCCCCGGCGAGCAAACAACGCAAGTCATGGAAGTCGGTGGGCTGGCATGCGCAACACGTGGCCCAACCGTCGGAGCCTGGTGTGTGAAATGACGGTGGTGAGTGGTTTAGTTCCTTTTTGTGTGCCGTAAAAAATGACACATCGTGATCTATACACACGGTGGATGTTTCAGGAAAAATAACTAAGCGATGAATATTTGTGTCAGCTCTCGGTTGATGGTTACTCCATGACTTCCACAGTTTACTTTGTGTTCTCAGCAATTTCAAGCGTAAATCACACTTTTTCTGTCCTCGCATAGGAAACATGGCCGCTTTCGACCTTTCCGATCCAACGGCTGTTGTATCCCCTGGCGGAGTTGGCTTCGATATCAACTGTGGTGTTCGTTTACTTCGTACAAATCTATCCCTGAAAGATGTTCTTCCAGTGAAAGAGAAACTAACACAAACACTGTTTGATCACATCCCGGTTGGCGTCGGCTCCAAGGGTGTCATTCCCATGAATGCTCAGGCTCTCGAGGAGGCGCTCGAAATGGGTATGGATTGGTCATTGAGGCAAGGTCTGTCACTTTTATTTTCACAGGTGCAACATTTGATTCCTGCACTCGGCGCTCTTTTTTCCGAGTTATGACTTAATTTCTCACCAAATGTTCACTCCTCACTTGCTATCAGACTCGTTAGATGTGAATACTCGGCTCTTGTGTCAGCAATGAATGCAGTTGTGTTCATAAAGTCTGATGAAACATTGACATAGCAATCGAGCGTAAACCAGTTCTTTTATGCAGTAAGCCTGAAGTAGAGGAAGAAGACAAACCGGTGTTTCTGGATGTCATCATGGGTAGGGGATTTTGTTGTACTTACTTAAAAATTCCTCGCATCAGGTTCCAAATCAGATAGTCATCCACATGCCCGGAAAAGCACTAGACTTCAGTTCCAGCCTGCTGGACATCATCAGTAGTACGTCTCCATCGGGTCCATTAGGATTCGAATCAATGATCACCAATGGCTTGCATCGCCAGTAAGCAGCTTATGCCACCGGGTCACAGGGAACAGTGTCGGATCCTCATGCTTTTTAGATGTAATCTGATTGGAACTCGACTTCACTCCAGGTGTTCTAATCCACTCTGGTTCACCTATCTTCATCACATTCTGGTTGAACAAAAAATCAGCTTCTATCAGCTTTCTGTCTGAAGCCGTATACTGTATATTTGAAGCACGGATGATTTGTACGAAACAACGTCGTAGTCTTCACTTTTCTTTTAATTCCTTGTTCATCGTGTAAACTCATCGAAGTGTCATATGATTCGTTAGGTAAACTCGAACCCTTGAGACTTAAACTGTCGACTATCATATTTTGAAATGCATTCCATTACCGAGGTTCCATGTTTTATTGGAGTTTAACACGACTCTTTCTCCAACGTAAACACTTCACGTAACTTTCTTTTACCTTCATCGCTACTAATTAATCATTGCACACCTGTTTCACACTTTTTCGCTTTTACCACGTTTTTTTTTTACATTATTCCCTTGCTATTAGTTATATCTACTTCTCCGTTACTACACTTAGCCACAAAACAGTCCGGTCGCCCAAAAATTGGAAATCTCTTAGGGAATTTAACTGGAAATATATCTAAACGTTTGGAGCTTATTCGGTTATCCGGATTATTAGCTTCTATTGTTTGCCGTAAAAAATTCGGATTAGTCGTGACTACGGGTTATAAACTGATCGCCGGTCCTTAGGGTGAGCTTCCCCATCCACTGTTTTCTGTTTTCAGAAACTTCTTCGGGGTTTAACAACTTCCACATTATTGATAGATATTTCGAAGGGTTTGGTTTCTTTTAGTAGGGAAATTTTCTCTTGCCCCCTCCACTGACATGCATTACTTATTAACCTTCAGTCGCATTGTTGAGTATCTGTGCCATATCAGCAATCTTGATCTAAGTGGAAAGTGACATTTTCGTCGTGATCATACAACTCAACCTGGATTTACAAACCGTCCAGATCTCGCTCATTCGACTCCTACTCTGTTGCTTAATCTTTCGCCTTTTTTTCTTCCACTCCCCTATCCATCATTTAGGATATGTGTGGGCGGATGATAAAGAGCATTGTGAAGAGTATGGTCGAATGCTGCAAGCTGACCCGAACAAGGTGTCGGCTCGTGCGAAGAAACGTGGTCTGCCACAACTAGGAACCCTCGGCGCGGGCAATCACTACGCCGAGATACAAGTTGTAGAGGAGATATTCGATCGTCATGCTGCTACCAAGATGGGTATCGACAGGTTAAATCAAGTCGTTCTGATGATCCATTGTGGCAGTCGTGGAATGGGACATCAGGTATACTGGCCGCTCTTTTATGCTTTCACGCGTGAATACGACCTGTTTCCCTTTTATGTAGGTTCGTCGCTGTTAGAGACAGGCAGACAGCCACCACACATCTAGGAAAGCGCTAGACGGCCGTTTCTTCCTATTGGGACTCGTCAGTAGCACGCACCCGCCGAATCCTACAGAATTCGAACCCACGACCTTACTCTTGCGAGTCAGAGACTTATGTCACTGAGCCATGCGCGCTACTGACGAGTACCAATAGGACGAAACGGCCGTCTAGCGCTTTCCCGAATGTGTGGTGGCTGTCTGCCTGTGTCTAACTGCGACGAACCTACACACAAAACCTAATAAATCCCCCTACTACTTACAAACGATCTATTTCTGTTGCTTCGTGCATGTCACCCCCGCACACACCAACTGGTAGTTTCCTGCTGATGATCACGCTGATGATCACTGCGCTCTTGACGCCTTTTCCTAGCTACAATTTGACCTTACCTCACCGATGTTTCATCCTGTTACCATCGCTTTACCGATTATCGATCACATCCATTTAATCCTTCTATTCAATTACATAATCTTTACTTTGCCTATTTCTACCTTGACTCCCGTGCCGTCGTGTCATGATGTACAGATGGCTGGCTACTAAGTTCCCTTCGTTAGATGTCACCTTTTCCGCTAGTTCTGTTGTACATACACACCCGGAGATATTGACAACACATTTTAATGCAGCTTATCGCAAGAATCTACTGCATAACTTTATTGAGACACCACACTCGAGTTTACTCGAAATTATGGCTTTATTGACCAAATATTTTTGTTAATTCAATTGTTAGAGTACCGTGACGTGTACCTCGTGTACGTGTTCCTCGACATCATACGTACCTTCGATTCTGAGTTGATTGGTAAGGGTGCCCGAGAAATGCGTACATATTATAAGAGCACGTTGCGCGCGTAGTTAGGACAGACTGACAGCTTATGGCAGACTGTTTCCATCCTACGACATCTTCATTGGTGTGAGGGAATGGTCGCTATCACTTTTCCTTTTCAACTTCGCATCTGACAAACTTGTGAAAACTGTGTTCACCGAACTCACGTTTACTCCCAAATGATTGACTTCTCGACTTGGAGTACACCGACGCTTTTGTGCTATCTTGTGATGGTCTACAAACCTCCATAGCAGTACTGGGCAGATTAGCGCAAATTGTCGGTCGTTTCAGGCTTTGCTTTTCACTTTCAAACCACAAAGCTTTCTCTGAGCGTTCGCAGGGACCAAGCTCTGCACTAACTTTTGTTTGCGATCAGCTGAAAATCTTTCGCAAATTCAACCACCTGGAAAGCTCAATCATTACATGTGGAAGAGAAGATGGGGCCAAAGGCATTATAATAAAACTCGAGGTGCTTCCGCTCACCTGTCCCCTCTTTTAGCAACAGTGCGACACCACTCGCCCTGTAAGGTACAGGCTATAGCGTTGCCGTCTGTTCAACCCTACTATACAGTTGCGAAACCTGGCCCATCAGATCGACAGACATAGAAAGTCTAGTTACATTCGATCATCGCTACCTTCGCAGCTTAGTGCACATCTGGTGGGAATACTGTGTGAGTAATGAGCGTGTTTGGCATTTACTATTTGGTGCAAGAAGAGGAATTAAACTACTTGACATCATTATTTCACCCATCATGCTGCGAAGGTTGAATCAATTAAAATGCATGCTGGCACACCGGCTCCAGCGACGCGTTTATGTGACCGGGGTCTGGATGAAAGATGGGAAGAGGAAAGACCAACCATTGACTTTGTCAAGAGGAATTAGCATCCTCTCTTTGAAGTTGGCGTTGGTTGTCCCTCCCTGTTACCTGGAGGTGGTTTAAAACACCGCGAATATATCAGCTTCGAGATACTTTTTAGCATGATGATAGCCAACTAGCGTTTATTTTGAGGTTTTTTCCCCATCACATTCTTGACGCATAATAAAAAACATGGCGTAATATTATTTTTAACGATTACTCGATTTATGTGTTTTTTGCGACACAATAGCTGATGTGTTTCTCGTCCCTAGCTGACGTGAAGAATGATGGTGATCAGCGGACAACAACTCGACGCAGTAGACCCATTAACTTTTCTATCATCTCTGGTAGTCACCTCATCGGTCGGTCCTCAGTCTCTGTCTTTAGTACCGAATAACGTGTTACCCTAACTTGTTACCCTGGGTGATAGCGTAATTTCGCAATACTGTAAGCATTACTAATAGGATCATAGATATGACCACTGCGTATTAGGATAGGAATGCCACTAACTGACTCTACACACGGACTATGCTCCACATCTTTCATGTTGAAATTGCTACTGCACTACCGAGTCGGTACGCCACCACACAATTCCAATACCAATTCGAAATGGTGGTTTATCTGATTCATGCATGACGGCCTGATCACCGGAGCAGCTACTTCGCGCATCGATAAGGTCGTCTCTTAGCATTTCAAAACCCAAGCCATTTATGGGGCTGGTGAGACTTCGGTCTATCCGTTAAAACCAAACACTGATCGCAAAGCGTTGGTTTTGACGCACTGCTGATCCACTGTTTTCTGTTATCTTCTGCACTGACCTGTCTTTCTTTTCCTCTGGTTTCTGTCGATAACAAACAGGTTAGCGGACCTCAAAGTCATGTGACTGCATGGAAACGCATAGAAGGGCACCGACTTCGTCCACTGGTGCCGCATCATCTACACCTTTCTCCTTTACACCTCTTGTCTGCTCCCCTTCGGGGCGCTAATAGCCGCCCTGTATCTGCACTACTTGCTCATTTCGGCGCTAGTAGTCGCCTAGTAGTCGCCATGTTTTTACCAACTACTTTTTTGAGCTAGATCGCTTTGACAGGGTGGCGATCCGCGCGTACTCGCACTATATGTTTCGTTGTCACTTATTCATCCTCGTGAACACATCCCGGCCTCCTTTCGACGTCTTTTTCGTGAGGCACGACGATCCGTTCTACCTGATACCATACGCCTTCACACTAATGTTCTACACCATTTTCTTCCTGTATTTTTATCTACACCTTGCATAGGCTTGTGAAATGTCTAATGCGGCGTCGTTCTTTTCTATTTATTCCTTTCTCTGACCGAAAAGTTCGGCGTTTGAAACTCTTGCATTCGACCCCTCTGCTCATAATTACTAGCCATATCTGACGTTTCCAGCATTGCTTTTATCCGTCTTTGTTTAATTAATTTACTACGTTTTATTAACTTTTGAACGGAAGTTCAGAAAACCAATTCTGCTGTTCTCTGGTTTTTAGCTACTATCCGTTTGGCCTCACTGAACTGCTTTCCGCTGACACTGGTTCGTCTTTGACTGAACTCTGTAGTCCAGCGCCTAACCGTGCCAGACCGTCGGCAACCAACCTCTCCTCTCTCGCCTACGGATCCAATTTGTATTATATACTGTCGTTGCACCTATTTGAACTAAAACCCAAGGCGGCCAGTCGATGACCATGGGATATGATCAGGCTGTTACGTGCCTCCAGCGGGTACGAATCTTATGTGACATGACACCGTTGTCCACTCGGTGGCGTTCTTGCATCTAGTCGATAATATTCCACTCTCATTTGTTTTGCCTATCTTTTACCCTAGCTACTTTTTGCGCTCTGCTCCCATTCTAGCATATTTTCTCAATTATCCTTATTCTGACAACCAGAGCTGCGACTATCGGTTCCGCCGCCTCTCCAATTATAGCTGTTTCACTGAACCTAACTAAACTTTTGTGTTTTCTTACTACATTCCTCTTGTCTTCAATTTATACCTCGAGCTGGTTGAGAATTGATGCGATGATGATTTTGCAACTCTGTTGCCACTTTCACTTTTCCCAACTTGTTCCCCCCAGGTTGCCACAGATGCTCTGGTGGTAATGGAGCGAGCGATGAAACGTGACAAGATCGACGTCAATGACCGGCAGTTGGCTTGTGCTCGTGTGGATTCCCCGGAGGGTCAAGATTATCTAAAGGCCATGGCCGCCGCTGCGAATTACGCCTGGGTGAACCGATCCTCCATGACATTTTTGGCAAGACAGGTGTGACAGTACAGTTCATTCCCCAGTAGAATACCTTTTTCTTCTCTCTAATGACCTTGAACGTTTCATACCTGGTCTAACTGTTTTGTTTAACTGATATAAAATGGCAGCTGAAAGGCAGCAAATATAAAGTTAAATTTGGGAACCCGCTGTGTGGTTGGATTGCAACATGCAACCTCTACTGAGACTTCGGTTCACTTTGTGTTAGACCTCAGTCATTCTGAGCACAAGGATCGTATCCGGAATTGAAGTCTTTCGGTCTTGCTCCTCCCAGCACTGACATTCCACGACCGACGGTTTCCTCCTAGTTTGAACTCATCAGGTGGAGATAGCCTGAGGGACTTCTTTGATCTACTTTATATTGGTTAAAAATACTTCCTCCTTTTTCTCTCTCTGACATAGCTGGTCAGATTGCGCGCACTTATTCTGTTCGTCATTTACATCCGATCGCCTTATCATGTCTGTTCAACATGAGTCGCCTGTCATTCGATTATCTGCTTTCTACGTGACTTCGCCTTCTATCATCGCGCATTTCTGGAACCATTTTCGATCAGAATGGACGAATTGTTCGTGAAATTGTCCGCCCTTTATAACACTTAGAGAGATTCATATATTGTCTTCATTTAAACGAATCACTGGTCCATAAGAGTCCATCGACCGGATGCTTTGTGTTTCAGATTTCCTTTCATTGTTTTTTGAAAAGTGCAGCGCTACATCGACCCACCATACTGACACTTCACTGCGCGCGACCGTCATTTGTCGCGCTCTGGCTAGGGATATTCTGAGGTGGAATCGGGGACATCTGGGTTACAAAGTAGACGCCCTATTCTATCGGCCGCTAGCCGATGAAGAGTTAGCTAATTGATGCTGTTTCAGCTAATCATGGGATCATGTTGAGTAATTGTCTTGGCGAAAAGCATAGCAAATTGAAAGATTCTTTGCTGACGTTAGGTCCTTTCCAGACACATGTTACGCTGCTCTCTGAGCGGTTTACCACACTTTCTCTGCACAGCACTCTTTATCAAACTGTTGGAGTGCATTTGTATTCGTTATCCACCCTAAGCACGCTTCCCTCCTACTCGATGCTGTATGTGAAGAGGTTTACCATCCCTACCGACCATAATCTGCTGTTTGTGATATGTGCATCAAACCCTAGCATCCTTGTCTATGCAACTAACATACTACAATGTTGGGCTACTAATCTGCTTGATCATGATTTTGTGGTAAAGAAATCAGCCAAGTTGGTGCACTATCTCGGTCACTGGAAAACTATCAACCTCATGAAGTAGAATCCATTATCACAGCCATCTCCTTGCAGTCGCAAGTGAAGCAAGTATTCACGGAGAGTTCCGATAACTTTTGAGCTGGTCCACAATTCATCCAACCGTGGTTCAGCCCTTTCTCAACCAATCATGTTCCAAATCACTCGGTGAGCTGTACAGATTGTTTCGGAGTATATATATATATATATATATATATATATATATATATATATATATATATATATATATGGGATTCAGACGGTACAGAACTAGTAAAGGAAAACACAGCACAACAATGTCCATGGTTTCGTCAGAGGGCGAGATACTACCCGGATGCCCAAGCCGAAGTAGGGTGTTGACTTAACGGACACCACCCCAAGCCTTTGGCAGAATGGCCTGCCCGCAAGGCAGCGGAGCGAATTCAGAGAATCGCGCCCATTGGGTGCCGGTGACTGATTGCTCAGTTCATACGCCTTTCGTTTGTTCCTTTGTCAAACAGAGGCCCAATGCTCCCCAGAACTACAGCATAAATTTGCTGGAATACAATGCTTCGCCAGGATGAAGCAAGGGGCAGTGACTTTATTTAGTGGCGAGTCACGTTCGCCACGTCACAGTGTTGTTAAAAGGACATATGTGGTTTTTTATAGGGAGAACGCTTGCCAGGCGAAAACCCACCACCTCCTGGAACACTGCCGCTGAACCATTTTCTGGAACGGGAAAGTCCCGAACCACCCAGCTGGCACCACGAGGAGATTTTTCGGCAAGCCAGAGGAAAGATGGGCTGTCGGTTGTCGTCAACGGATGTCTGCTCTTAGCTGAAAATGTTCTCATTCCTGCAAAACTCCGACCGAGATTTTCATACTGGACATCCTGGCTTCGGTAAGATGAAAATGATTGCACGGAGATATGTTTACGTAACGAGACACGGACACAGACTTCGGACAGCTGGTAATGACATATTGAAGATGCACCCTAAGAAAGTGACCGTCAAGAACGGAGCCTTGAGAGCGCATACGTGTTGATTGCTTTGGTCAGCAAATGGCCTGAAATGTTCTGATTGGAGCATCCAACCGGTGGCGCACCAATCACAATACTGATAACACTTTTTAGCTAGCATGGAATACCTGAGACTCTAGTCACGGATAATGGCTTACAATCCACTTCCTTCCAGTTTTCCGAATAGTTGGAGCAGAATAGTACCATACATTTGCGCTCACCGTTCCACTCCCAAACTAATGGATATTGATACTTCAAACGGACTCGACTAAACATGCAGGAAGGCGGCCGGTGGCCGAGTGGTCTGCGCGTTTGCTTTGCAACCAAAATGTCACTGGTTCGAATCCGCGTAGGGGTGGGCGTCCTCGCGGTATACTCAGCCCGCGCGCAACTGGTGGTGGTCGCGTGGTTGCAAAGCGCCGTTACGGCACACAGCTGACACATGATTATTGTTTTATTATAGAAGATATTGGACGGTATAGATCAACCCGGAGTCCTCAGGGGCCAACCAATTTCTCACTCACAGGGGCGCACATGGAAGGAAAATTTGAACGCATTACTACGCGACTCCCTCCAGTCATGTGCCGCCTATAAACACTACAAGGTCACTCTCATCTACCTACACTCGAACTGATGCCTTATGGTTTACATAACAGGCGTCTAAACCACCCGGCCACTTGGAGGGCAAACTCTGGACATTTATTGCTCATTAACAAGTTGATACCACGAGCGTTGATCTAGTTAACTGCTGCGAAATCTCTGTTCCCATGCTTGTTTCCAATATATCTGGACGAGTCATTGGCAAGAGCCACGGAGTTTTTCGGAGGCAAGTAACATCAAAAATGTCTTCACAAAACGCCAGTTTTGTCCTCCCAGCCCTCCACCCTCATTTTTTCACTCGTAGGCGTGTTCACTTTCAAGTGGACACTACGCCGACTATGTTATGCCAAAATCTTTCCTTATCCACCTTTTCCTCCCTGCAGTTTCGGTCATCTCTGTCTTGGTCTCACAACCGTTAGCTGCCACTGGTATCTCTCACCTACGCTATTGGATACACTGTTCGTGTTAACTGTAGATCTCATCAGCGAGATGAAGAAGTACGCTTGTTCCGGATAAGCTTCTTCTACTTCTAATATCCTCATCTGTTGTGAATTATCATTTTACCCTTCAGAAGAATTCGATGATAACAACAGTGCCTCCGTGTATGGTGATGGCTGATGTACGTCTTCCCCTTCTTCATCTTTACTTCTCCAGCGAGTGTACATCGCTACCTGGCATCTAAGTGTTTTTGTTCAGCAACGCGGTGCATTGCACTGAAAATGCTGCGTGCGGTTGCGCTCCAGCCCCTCTGACATTTTGTATTATGTGCCATGTGCGACGTTTACCGTCTCTGTGTTCTCTCTCCCCGGAAATTTGTCGCTACCTCCCATATTTTTTCTCCATAGGCTTTTGCGAAAATTTTTAACTCAACGCCGGATGATTTGGATATGCATATCATTTATGACGTATCGCATAACATTGCGAAAGTGGAAGAACATTGGGTGGATGGGAAGATCAAAACCTTGCTGGTTCATCGGAAGGGTTCTACTAGAGCATTTCCACCTCATCATCCACTCATTCCAGTCGACTATCAGGTGAGGCTGTCGTTGTTGTCGTCGTCGCTTTTTGCGTTTTAAATCTTTCACTTTTTGATAGACCACTTGATGGTCGTCTACCATCTGTTTTATATGGAATTTGTCTTTGATCACCGTATCTGATTAGGTTAACCCGCCGCCCACTAACCAAGTGACGTAGCGTGGTTGGTAAATGAACCGCTCTCCTTACTGCTGTGTCTCGGGACTTACTACCTCTTATCCCACACAACCCATTCACAAAATCCCAATCCACCATAGTATTCGATCTCTTGACTCTTACTGGTAACTTATATTCCCCCCAATCTTCTCTAGTCCATACTTATTGCACTTTGTATTTCCGGGTTCATTTTTCACTCCTCTTCTTTCGAGTCATGATAGCCCGGGCCAACCGCCCCACATTTGATGGGTTGCTGAACTGACCCAGATCGCATGAACTCACTCTCCACGAGGAAGTGGATGTGTGTCAACGCCATAAGGTTGGCCAAGCCGAGGAAGTTACGCTGAGTTTCACTACTGGTGATTGGTGGTAGTACCTTAATTACCATAAGTTTGGACAGCCGGGTTAATGTTTCCAAATATTTCCTGATCTGACGTTCCTGAGACGCCAGTTGCACTTTTCTTCCTGGTCTTTCAATTTTAAACATTAGTTTGTCCTCTCCACGATTGCATATTGTATTCTTCGGTTTTAATTTTTTACCTTTTCCACTTGATCTCTGTTGTGTCATCTTTTGATCACATTCTCCTTGCGGCCTGGATCAGTGCGACTGCGAGGTCTTCCTGTGTGGGAATCGTGGTCGCGATGACTCGAAGCATACTTCTCGGTGAATAACCCACATAACCTTTTCTTACGATAATTTTCCCTTATTCATGTACCGTATATGTTGTTAGGTCGTGCTCACCTCTTAATCCTCGTATCCAGTCACTGTTGAGGGATCATTGTATCAGATGCCGTGGTTGCGGCCCTATTCACGTGACTTAAAAAAACGCGAGATAACCGTAAGAAAACGACTTATAATTTGTGATTCCTCAGCAAGTTCACCCCTTCGGTTTGGAAAAAGAGCAGGTTCCGGTATGTGGCAGTAGGAGATATGCGAGGAATTTTTGGAATTCATTCAATGGACGCTGAACTGAATGCGATATGCGTTTTAGCCTGATGATGGCCACCGAAAACGAGCTTGTTCGCTAACTTGTCGTTCTGATGTCCACGCCTGGGATATTTTTCCACTTGAAACAATCCAAGGATCCTGTTGTGCTCAAAGGGCTTAATCAGTACGTTAAGTTCTGCACAAAACTTGCGTTAGCGAAAGTGACAATGCGGTTCTTTGATGAATGTGTTTCACGTTGCGAATATCCTAAACACTTTTACAAGATACTCCGTAGAAATCGGATTAATCCAACTAATGTGGCGCTGAAACGGCATGCGTTGAATGAGCGTGATACCATTGCCTCGTGACTTGATGAGCTGGAATGTAATCGTTGCGCGTATTCCGTCACATTGGACAAACTGGACGCAGTGGAGCGCAAACAATTTGATACCTTTGTTCAACGAATAGTCACAAAGCAAGAGGAGAAACGCTTAGCCTCATTGCGGCGACAGGTTTGCACAACTAAGGCAAACACTTTATTCCCCCCCGAACCGGAAAGGTATGTTCACAATTTTACGTCGTTGCACTTGGATAAGACATTGCTTGAGGTGCTCTCACTTGGTCCAAACTTTTGCTGTCCCCGCAGTTATGCAAGACAATTAGAATTAGAAGTGCAGTTCGAAAATTTGTATGCCCAAGTTTCTATGCTTACGCCCTCGTCCGCATTAGCGTCTGAGCATTTTAAGTCCACCCTAGTCAATACTTCTTAGCATTATATAATGTACAAGCCTGAATTTAGGTATTTGCTGAAAAAGACCACTTAGATGCTCTCAAAGCTCTCAAACAAAATGAGAATATGCTCCTTCTAAGGCCTGATAAGGGAACAGGGATCGTGTTGATGGAGAAAGCTGATTATATCGACAAGATGAACGCGATCCTCAGCGATCGCTCGAAATTCCGGAAAATGGAGAATGGAAAGGACAAAACTACAGCAATAGAAAAGACAGTTACTAAGCTTTTACGGCGCTTGAAACAGGAAAACATGATTGACTCTGCCACGTTCGAATACATTCGTCCCACAGGGACAGTGATCCCGAGACTCTACGGTTTACCGAAGGTGCATAAGGAAGGACTTCCACTAAGGCCCATACTAGACATGTGCAATTCGCCGTATCACGCAACAGCCAAATGGTTGGCTAAGCTTCTAGAGCCGGTGAGAAATACTATTTCCAGGTACAGCCTACGAGACACATTCAGTATCTTAGACTCCATAAGACAGCTTCAGCTAACCGGAAGAAAGATGTTTTCATTGGATGTGGTGTCGCTTTTCACCAATATTCCGTTAGAAGAGACAACAGACTATATATGTGATACCGTTGGAGACCATCAACTGGGTATCGGCCTTTCAACTGATCGATTGAAACAGCTACTCCTGCTGTGTACTAGTAACATACAATTTCAGTTTAATGGGGCCATATACAGACAAAAAGATGGAGTAGCAATGGGCTCACCGCTTGGACCACTACTGGCTGATGTGTTCATGAGCAAATTAGCGAACACTTATCTGAGCGGAGTCATTACTAGCCTACCATACTACGGACGATATGTGGATGATATATTTTGCGTGACAGACAGACATTGTTGCCCAGAGACAATTTTATCCTATTTTAACTCGGAGCACCCTAATGCCAAGTTCACTCTAGAAACTGAAAGCAATGACACGGTGTCCTTCCTAGACGTTCATCTTAGTAGGAGACCAGATGGATCAGTCCAACGGAGGGTACATAGAAAAGCAACGTGGAACGGACAATGTGTACATTTTGCCAGTTTTGTCCCAATAAATCAGAAACGCAACTTGATTAGATGTCTAACCGAAAGGGCCAGAATGATTTGTAGTGAGGACACACTTGCGGACGAGCTCAGTTTCTTAAGTGGCGTTTTCGAGAGAAACGACTATCCAGAAAAATTTGTTCGGAAATATATAGAATGCAGAGAAACGAGAGCTAAACCAGCTTTGGTAGAAAAGAAACCGGTTTATTTGTCGTTGCCGTTCAAGGGGGATGGTATAGCGCAGGCAACATCTAGAACATTATCCGACGCTATGAGCCATACGTACTACGCAGCGAGCTTGTGGTTAAGCTTTACTTCAACACCAATCGTGAGGCCCCAACTCAAAGACAGACTTCCTTGGTCATGTACTTCTTATTGTGTATATTCCTTCTCTTGTTCATGTCGAGCAAGATACATCGGAAGAACTACTAGGAGGCTGTCTTAGAGAATACGCGAGCATTGTCCAGCTAACCTACGCAATGGTGGGAGAAAAACTGTGATGAGCGCCGTGTTGGCACACTTGGTTGATTCTAATCACCAAATCAACACCCGCCAATCTTTCCAACCCATTTACCGGGTACCTGGACGTCTTTCATGAGCGGTAAAATGTCGCTTACTAGCAGCAGCTGAGGCAATTGCTATCCGCCACCAGAACCCAGACTTATTGTGCTCAAAAACTGTTCGTTCAGCTTCTGTGTTTTCCCTGGCCCTCTATCACAACGACTCGTTGAGGGACATGCCGCCGATAGTCCATCGATCACTTCTGATCTGTTTTCCAATGACCTTGAAGTTTGAACTCTACCATTATCTGCTGTTTTATGTTAATCTCATTCCTATCAGTTGTGGTGTTTTAGCCTGACGAGAACCACCGAAAACGAGCTTGTTCGCTAACTTGTCGTTCTGATTAAAGGACTGTCAAATCACACGATTAAACCTGATGGAAGAGGATACCAGTGAGACAACAGGTTTAACACCGAGGTAAATGGGCGAGACATGGATCCCAGAGGCCATTTTCATTGGTCACCCATCAACCAACCCGAACATGGTATTGCTTACTCAAACAGCCACTCACCAAAACATATAACTATACGCACGACTATCCCACGCATGCATACACGATCACAGACGCAGCGCTCCACTACGCAATCACCCACAGTTGGTGGTACCTCTGACTGATGATTAAACGTTTGCATCGAAAATACTGCGCTCGCGAACAGTTCAACGAACAAATTACTGAAATTCCACTTGCTTTTCGTACTTTGGACGACTTCTTCATGGCTTATTTATAGTTTATTTCATCTTTCATGGTGCATACGTCGATGGTACACCTATTTATCCCCAAGTATTATTGGTTTCGATTGCCTTTCTGCTATGTCGCACAAGCAGGTCACTGCATGGCATGTGAATTTGAAGCTCCACGACGTGAACGACTGAGGTGTGCGTTTTGGGCGTCTATTTCCGAGTGAATTGGCTGTATGGCCTCGCTCGCTACAAGTGACCACTCGTTCGACGCCGCCACCACCTAGATTACTGGTTCCATTGGGTTCTGAATTGTTACGGAAACAGTGCTCACAATTCCCTTTTTGGTTTATGTGAAATGAGTGCTCCCATCATTATTCGCGTACGTCGTCATCCTCATCAGCAGCAGCGGTGCATCAGCAAGTTGAACTGTTAATTCACTGCCGTACAATTTGGTGACGTAGGCATTGACGAATAATAAAAGGGTGCTGACGTGATGCAACGCCTAAATTCCCTATACAAACATCCATACCCTCCTAGGTTGGGTGGTTGGAATAAAACTGGCACACCTTTGGTAATACACAATCGCTACCATCTTATCGCTGCTTTATAATTCACTTTTGAGCCATAAGCTTTGGTTGAGGACTCTCATCGTTCTCTTTTCTTGGATTGGGCGCCTTAACAGCATCCCACCTCTCGTCAAACCAGAGCTATCCAATAAAAGTATAGCCACATATGGTAGCTTCTGTTCGCTGGTACGAATCTTGCACGAATTTGTGCGCCCATCACATACATGCTGAAGGTATGCGGATATGACACTGACTCGATGCTAGCTGCTAACCGAGTGCTCATCGACGCTATCAACCCCACTTGCCACGGATCTAGCGGGGACTGTGTGTGGCGCACCTCCAAGGTACCCATGGCTCATATCAAGACAGGTTTAGAAACGAATACCACCCAGTGCATTCACGATTTAGTATATATCGTTTACTTTAAAATGGAAGTTATCGAGGGATTTAGCAGAGCGGCTGACTTTGGGAACTCTCTCGCCTTCGATAGTTTTATTTCACTCTGTGGTTCAACTACCGATACTATTTTCTTCGCGCTATATACGACACATACCTGATTTATATGCACTGTTTTTGATCGTTTTCTCTTGTTCTCCTTCTCTCTTAGCTTACTGGACAACCGGTGCTGATCGGTGGAACTATGGGCACTTGCAGTTACGTGCTCACTGGCACGGAAAAGGCCATGACGGAGACGTTTGGTTCCACTTGCCATGGGGCTGTGAGTTCTTACTTTTCTCTTCAGTCCGATCATTGATTTTGCCATTTTTGCTTCAGCGACATGGATTTCGTCCTCCCCGTCTCCGTCCGAATAACTGATCACATCATTTAGTTTGGGATTCTTGTTTGCTATGTGTGTGTGCCCGGTGCAGTCCAAGGTGGCGTCTTGCTTAGGTTCAAACTAACCACTATTTCAGCTCAACTTAACTGCTCCCAGAATATGCCACATATTCTCGGTTGTTGAAAGCCTTCAACCCCTTGCTGGATCCGTCTGCAGTGTCGACAAAGCTTTAAACCACTAGGAACCTGTTTTAATGTCACAACACGGTCGTCAAAATTGACCCACTTACATTTTCCGTAAAATTCACACATAGATCTCTCAAATATCGAGCATCTGCTTGACTTATTCGTTCATCTCATGAATTAAATCATGGATAGTCACAACGGTCATTCGATCGAAGACCACTCATCTACTGGCACTTTTCTTTGCGAATTTTACCATTACGCCGTCTTCACAAACACCACGTTCCGAGCAACCAACACGACCGATAAGTTGTCCATATTCTTTCGGGCAATTGGCATGGCCATCTGCGTGATGGCTGTCTATCAGAGCTTTACTCACGCTCCGTGTCTGACGTCAGTATGCACTCTGAGGGACTTAAATTAGCGCGAGTATGCGATGCACTTTGCTAACGTCTTCGCTTGATTGATTTCGGGATGTCTATCACGAAATTTTTCGAGATCTCAATCTCACAGATATTTGAAAAAAAGTTACGTATTTTATCTAGTGTAATTTCTTGCTCTCCTCTCTTATGCACAGGGTCGGGCTCTATCTCGCGCAAAGTCCCGTCGTAATCTGGACTACACTGACGTCCTCGATGCTCTGCAAGCGAAAGGAATTTCCATCCGTGTCGCTTCCCCGAAGCTGGTGATGGAAGAAGCCCCGGAATCATACAAGAACGTCACCGATGTGGTTAACACATGTGAGTCGTTTGATGATGTGTGCTATTTTGGCGATTATCCGAAATGCAATGTGACCCCACTATTTTACTCACTGGACAAAATGCAGCTCCTCAATCGTTCTACCGCTGTAAGGAGGAGCCACATGGAGCGTGAGATTCCCTAGTTTATTAACATCAGTCGCTGTCAGCAACAGTTTATTTTCGAAAGAGTATTCGTTCTTTGCGAGTTGCAGATTGTCCGTTCATGTCCTCCTTAAGTTGGACAACTTGGCTTTGTTCCATCCCTCTCTCAAGCCTTTAGACTTACATCAAAGTGATTCTTCCACCGCTTTTTCTTCTACATTCTGGCCTGTGGAAGAACTTATGGCTCGATTGCGGGAGATTGAGGTATCATGCGAGTGTAGGGACTCGCCACTATCTCCTCAACCATTTTGCCCTAAACCTTCCTCACTGTTCATGTTACCACGACTGCGGAAGAGCATTTAAAGCAATCAAATTGACAAAGTAGTAAGAAAAATCCCGTTGCTAGATGTGGAAACTCAATGTTGTCAAGCGAACACCATGTTTTCAATAATTCTTCTTCAGGCTTGTACAGTTATATGCAAAAAGGACCAGAATATAGACACAACACAAGTACCAGTAAAGCACTCAGTTTACAGTCTCACTGGTCACTGTCAATCACTGCTCCCCAAGGACACAGTTGTACCACGTGCACAATCCCTTGATTTGGACGGAGCAGAGTTCGTCTGGGCCAAGTCAAGCACAACATGTGAGAGTGTGAATCTTTTCTGGACGCACAATTCCAACACGTATGGTCTCATCATCAAATTTGCAGCCGATTCAAGTAAGCGCTTTCGAACGCACTTTGCTCGAATTTCAGGTGGTCGTTAGATGACTTTGAGTGCCTCAGCCAGATTTGGGGAATGGCCCGGTGTCGGCAAGTTTAACGAGTTGGGCGCAAAGAATTTGCTCGAATGACACGTTCTCTGAGGAACTGCAGTGCATACGCTTAACCATGAAAGAAAATGAGTACCCAGATGGATTCATTAAGGCCAACATGGATCATAGGAGGAAATCTCCTTTAACTCTCACAGCTAGAAAGAAACCCATTTTGCTAGCACTTACCGTACAAAGGGGAAATCGTAGCTGAACTTCCAACTCGTCGTATTTCTCGCGCTCTATGCTACCTTATGGTGTCCAATCATCTGCAGTTTTGGTTGATTACGCACTGGAGTAGCCGGCTGTCATGCTCATGAGTAACGTAATTTAACGAACAGTAGTGTCTCAAGTTTACAAACGGCCCACGAATAGTTTTACTGCCAAACACAGACACGAGCGCTGCTTCGCGAACATCGGCGGCGGCGTTCAAGGATGAGCTTCTTTTGCTTAAGTGAACTGCCGGACAGTTCGATCCGAAGGAGTAAGTGTCGAATATCCCTTCATAACCATTTAAATCCCAAATTTAACGAATCGGAGGGAGACGAGACAGCTCTGGCACAGGTGGTTCGGATATAAGAATTTTAAACTAAGAGGACGTTTCTATGACATCACCCTTATATAGTAAGAGTGACATATTGATTCGTTCAGTTGAATCGGTGGTTCTTAAGCCCATGTTGACCACCGTCAGAGTATGTGATGCATCCTTGTGTGTGATACATCCCTGAGTGCGGCGGAGCTCGATTTGATTTACACTTATTTGTATTTCCCAACGGCCAGCACGCGACCCTTCAGTGTGACCCCTGTGAGCATTTTGCAGGCGGTAGCCAATAAATTTCGTGTTCTAATGATGTACTACTGTGTTGCAAAAGAAACTGAAATTTCTAAATAGCTCGCCACTGGCACAGTGCGCTTTGGTTACTGAGAGCATGTAGAGGCTTGCCTAGACAATAAACTGCCATTTGCCTCGTTTCGCTCTGCCCGATGGTTGGCCGCAGCGCGATCCCTTTACTGATTGGCGCGATATTTCAATGTTCGATTTCTTTTTGAACACAATAGTGGTTCTGGCTCCTGCTGGCTGATTTTCAATATGATTCTGTTGGTGGACAACCCTCGGCTTAGGGACCGTTTTCAGTGTACCTTGTGGTGTTGAGCAGAAAGGCCAATTCAACCCTACATACTTCGCCATCAACGTGCTTTAAAAACGATGTCCTGCCAGCGCATAATCATCCCGTCATTTTTATTGTCGGTGGGAAACTAGATTTCAGAATTTGCAGCATGTCCATCTTCGCATTGTTATGCGTTTGTCGGAGTAACCTCATGTGATCCACTGTAATCTTGGCGTCTCCAAGATGTTGCACATGTTACGAGATTGGCCATATTACTCTCAAGAGTAGGAAGATTTTACTTGTAATTTTAATGTATTCATCCCAACAGCTCACAAGCTACATAGCACAAACCCCAATCCTCTCTAGCGTCAGCCTCTAGCGGTCACAAGTTCGATCTCCAGTAGGCAACCGAAGGATGCGTACCACTGACGAGCCCCAATAGGACGAAATGCGCGTCTGCTAATTTTTCGAATGGCGTTGGGCTGTGTAGCTTGTGACCTGATGGCACGAATAAATTAAAATAAGATTGTCAATAGTCTACCTTGTTTTTCTGCTCTGTGTTTATAGATTTTCTTTCACCCGGTCGTACCACCGCTTTGGGAGGATGCATTACACCAACCACAGCACATTTCTACTGCTAACTTATGGGTACTTAGTCCTACCGATCATTGGGCTGACATGTATAATGAGGATGGTGGGCTGCTACGTTTTCCATCTGCACATACTTTGATCCCTCGTGTGTTTACTGAATGACGGCCCTGGGATGCTTTGTTTGCATGCGCCGGCGGTCGGTGAAATGACCGTGAGAATTACTCAGGTAGCCGTCTGCGATTGAGACTTGTACACGTTATCCTCGTGATTTTCCTTGACTCGGCTGTTTCGGGGCCTAGGACCACGGCTGTTGTCAACTAGAGATGGTTTCTGGTCAACATTAACACCTGGAAAACCTCTTACTATTCTTCCAGCCTCCATTTAGTACATTTCATAAAAAGTGCCGGCCCGTAGTATTAAGTATCAAAAATCTACCTTGTAGTCTGAAGGCGCTGGTTCGAACCTGTGTATGGGACCGTCTAATCAGGAAAGAGAAGAAGAGAAGGAAGAGAATTCCTCGAAGCATGGTTCTCTACGGAGAATTCAGTGGCCCTCCGCATTGACCTCGGTCCTGTGTACCTACGGCGGAGAAAGCGTGAAACCGGGCGACCGAAAATCGAACAAACAGTGGTCAGGGATACAGATCGACAAGGCCAGTTGCAAACGCTACATCCCGACTACACTTTCCGTGGGATTTTCCTCTATGCAACAGTGCAGTGAAGATGCCACTGAGCGGAGTGGTGAAACGTTTGCCATTGGATTATTCAGCTCGGAAAACGAACCACAACGTTAACTACCAACCCGAGCTACATGTATTTCGAATCATCACAAAGTATGTAAATATTATGCGAGCGCTTTACGCGTAGCTCGGTCAGCGTGTGGGCTTACGGCAAGCTTTGTCCGCCATTCCATATCTCCAGCGGTGTAAGACAAGGATACCAGCTTTCCCTTTTCTTCTTCAACTTCGCTATTGACGATGTCATGGAAATCGCCTTCACATGACACGACTTAGAAGGCGCGGAGCTGCTCCCAGGTGAACGATTTCTTGACTTAGAGTATGCTGACGATATTGCCCTCATCTGTGACAGCTCACAAACAGGCCAAGCTGCTCTGGACAGATTAGCACTGGCTGTCAACCGTTTCGGGCTTTGCTTCGCACCCTCGAAGTGCAAAGCTTTCCTTCAAGATTGGCACGGACCGCCTCCTGCGCTGACTCCTACTGGGGATCAGCTAGAAATCGTTCAAAAGCTCAACTATCCAGGTAGTTGTATCGGCGCCGTTGGAATTGAAGAAGAGGTCACAAACCGTATAGCAAAATCATGAGGCACCGGCGCGACATCACTCTCGCCCTGAAGGGTAGAGTGTACAATGCAGCGGTACGTTCGACGCTGCTTTACGGTTGTGAAACCTGGCCCCTTAGATCAGCAGACATAAGGAGGCTAGTTACGTTCGACCAGTGGTACCTTCGCAGTTTGGCTCATATCTGGTGGGCACACCGTGCGAGCAATGAGCTTGTTTATGACGCAAGAAGAAGAAGAGGCGAACCGCTCAACAACATTATTTCACGCACCAGGCTCCGATGGCTGGGCCACGTGTTACGCATACCAGCCCATCAACTCCCGCTACGTGCGTTGTTTGCGCCGGGGTTGTGGATGGAAGAAGAGGAGGGGTAGCCAAGCGATGGCTTGGTGGAGCGACATGAAGGCCCTTACTTGGCATCGGTTTGATCCTCTCGACTCCCTGGTTGGGGACCGAATGACGATGAACACGTTTGGCTGGATACACTTGCTGATATGGCTAGGAGCCGACCTCAATGACGTTCGTGCTGTGACTTCCTTTGTCCCTCCCTCTCTAACCACGGTCTCAGTTATTAGGGATAATACGACTGCTTTGCGTAACAATTGCCGGCTGTTAGCTCTCCGGAACGATGTTTCATCCGTTACTGGTGACTCAGCCGTCGTGCCACTGTTTCATGTTGTTTTTTATTGCGGCACAATAGCTGATGGTGTTTTCCATCTTTGACTGCCGTATATAATGAATGATGATGTTTCGGCGTACATGCTTCTTGTGGTTGTTGCGTGGCAGCGAAGTATCGGTACTGCGTCACGGCTTAGTGTCGATGCCCCTTTTCAGTCACGTTTCAGCGAACTGAGAATCATCTTATTTCACTTTTCAAACTATTGCCCGCCACATACTTGACTGCCCTGAATGCCAGTATTCCCGTCGTAATTTCAGGGTAGTTAGCAAACGAGCTATTCCTCGCCTACTTCAGTTTGCTGAGGCGTCGGCGATTCGGCGGTTGAAACCAAACTTGTGCAAGCAAACGGATTCTGTATCCACGCTCACCCTCCCCTCAGAACGGGTCACGTGAGCCTGATGGCCTTCGACGGCTTTGATTTTTCGCCGTTAACATCACACTCTGATTGTCTTTGCTGTGTGATCTGTTTATTCCACTAATTATATGTAAGCAGCTGAGGAGAATACGCGAAGTTGCTGAATTCAGTATGTTATGTTAACATGTTTCCTCTTGCGATATTGAAATCGTAGTATTGGTTCGTAGCGTGTAGCCCATTCCTTGTTCTTTATTGTCATGCCCAGCTGAACCTCAGCGGTTGTCATCTAGCTGGTGCAAAACACACGTCGCATGGCTCACAAATCAATCCCGTTCAACTTGATTATACATATTCTTCAGTTTAACGACAACACTCAAGCTGATCATCATAAGAAAGTGAACATTTTCCGGCCGTAAAAATATGCCAACAATATGTCGCAGTGGTTTTTGGGGATTCACCTTCACTGAACCCAGTGTAACATCCACTGCACGCCCGCACAAACACCGAGGGACCATTTCCTGCGCCAACCCTCTTATGAAATGGTGGCCTTAGTCCCGCAGTCATAAGTGATGGTTGCAGATCACCATGCTTGTTTACCGGCTGTGCGATGGCGAATGCTTTGAGGTAGGGGTTCAGGTTTGTCACATTGAGCTCTGTCTCCAGACTGCAGGTGCGTGGACCTAGACACCGCGATCGATGCGGTGATACACCTGATCACAACGCAATCTAATCGCTTCGTTCTCAATTAGTGGTTGCTTATGCACCCAAACACTGTGCCGCCCCCATATTCGCTGTCTACTGCTGTGTATCTGTCGACACTTCCCATATTCCTTATTCCGTCTTCTCCGTCGAGTTTTCGTCCTTCTAACGTTCTCAAACCGAACTTTTCTGAACCATTATCAGAACGGCATTTTTAATCGACAACATCTACTTTTTTATTGCTCTTTCCCCTCAGGTCAAGCTGCAGGTATCAGCAACAAGGTGTTGAAGCTACGCCCCATTGGAGTGATAAAGGGTTGACCAAACAACTCGAGTCGTCTTTCTTCGTCGCCTCCACTTGTAACCACATTCGCCTTCCGCTAACAGCTTCCCCTCCGTCGTCACTTGCAATGCAGACTGCCAGTTTACTCGCTTGTGTTTTCACTTGACATTCGAGGCTGTACAAATGAATGCCAGTTTGTTTAAATAAATTTTCTACCTGACGCGCAGACTTCTGTGATTCGCTCATGGCCCCTCTTCTTCCTGTCCTCATGCAACTTGTTCTGTTTGAGTAGCATACCCTCTGTATACCATATTTTACAATTCCGTTGTTTGGTGATTACCGGGGAATCCGCGTCACTTGTGCTTATTTCCATCAAGTGTGCTACATCCATATCGATACCTTACGACAGTTCCCTACTGTGTGTAGGTACCTACCGTGATGGTCTGTGTGGTCGGAGTTACCCGACCTACTTCACTCTTCAGCATTTTAGTCAAAAAGCTCATGAAGGGCTGTGTTTTTCAGACTTCTTTTAAGTCGTCCTTTTTTCTTGTGGCTGCTCTACTAACTCCTTCAAATCTCACTGCTTCGCGATGTCAAATCGCAAAGCACCACTGTAGCAGTTGGCTTTTATCTCTTCTGTTCTGACCATCATGTCGTAGTAGTTTTGTGATCCATCGGCTTAACTCCAGCGATCGCCTCCGTTGGTGTCTACCCTCCGAAATGGTTCCTCTAAAGGGATCGGTAAAACTGTGTGGCTTGATTGTTCCAATTAGCTATGTGGATAGCGAATTGTTGGCGTATCAGCTGAGGACAGTGTCTTAACCCTGATGCAGTGCGACTCGTGTAGATATGAGAGCCAAATGTGATTAGCACAGACAGTTCGACTGCTCTTCTTGTATGGTTGGTTCACCCCAGTAGGTCAGTGCTTGACACAGAACCTCACCATCATCTTTAGGTAGCAATGGGAGCAGTTCGTTTGACCCCCATCCCCGCTCCTGGACCTCCGACTGAAACATGACCAGTCGGAGGCTGAGTTTTGAAACACGGTCACAGCTCCCAATCGTTTTTACGCTACAGGTCCGGACTCACCGCATCATTTAAGAATGACAGTGGGGTGCTCTACAAAACATTGACCTGCAGATACGGAAGTTAGAGACCATCCGAAGCAGTTTGGGGAGATTCGATCACAGTGACATTATTATACAAGAAACGTAGGTAACTGCACCGACTGCTAACCATAGAAGTATCAGTCTAGTGCGAGTGAGGACAAAATTGCTCTCCGTGATTCACTACTGATGCCTTTTACTGTGAGATAGGCATCCGAGAGAAAGGCAAGCGCGCGAGTTTACGCTCTTTTCGGGGCTGCATAGACCATACATTCATTCCGTGGCAAGCGTTAGAACAGCGTCACATATCTCATAGATTGCATTTAGCTGTGTTCCTCGACCTCTAGAACGCATTCATCTCAGTCAGTCGTGCCATCTTCGAGTTTACTTTTTCAAAGTGGTGTTAGCATATACTGTTTGAACATCTTACCCTATTACTTATGAATGGAAGGATTTTGGTGAGTATTTTCGTTTGTCGCAATCAGCCGACAATTCAGATATGTCGACCAGCTGTCCGGAAAAGCACCAGACGGCCGTTTCGCCCTATTGGGGCTCATCAGTGGGGCGCATCCTTCGGTCCTCTGCGGAGGATCGAACCCATGACTGCTAGTGGCTCTTGCCAACTAGCCCGCAGCTTATGCAACTGCGCCATAGAGGACGGTATCTGACTATCGTGAATTGTTAGCTAAATGCGACATAGCCCGACGCATCCTCCACTGCCATGCAGGCACCTGCCATGCAGATGACAGCGGTCGGCCTTCCGGCGTCAGGACTTCCCGGTTACGGCAGCTATGAATCGATATAGCATTTTGTGGAATCCGTACGGGCGAATTGGTATTACTTATGAATGGAAGGATTTTGGTGAGTATTTTCGTTCGTCGCAATCAGCCGACAATTCAGATATGTCGACCAGCTGTCCGGAAAAGCACCAGACGGCCGTTTCGCCCTATTGGGGCTCATCAGTGGGGCGCATCCTTCGGTCCTCTGCGGAGGATCGAACCCATGACTGCTAGTGGCTCTTGCCAACTAGCCCGCAGCTTATGCAACTGCGCCATGGAGGACGGTATCTGACTATCGTGAATAGTTAGCTAAATGCGATGAAAAGCGAAGCAGTCTCATCATCTGGTATGCGCTATGCCCATTCAAAGTGCAAAATTATACTGTATGACCACCAGCCACTTGATAATCATGTGATTCCTAACGGTGAGGAACGGGGTAGTTGGCCGCTACATCTCTTATCAGCTGCACTAGCAGTAATGGGCACCTGGTCGGCACGTGATGCGAAAGCTAGCAGTGTGTTTGAATTTTTTGCACCTGTAGGTGATTCCCCTCGATTTGAAAGGCCGTCTGTACAGGGTTGCAATTAGGAATGTTCTCATCTATGGAAATGAGATTTGACCCCATTGATCCGGAGCACATATACTTCCTAGATCGTCGTTGCTTACAGACCTTTGTTGATGTCATATGACACCAACGTGTCCGCAACAGTGATGTACGTTGGTGTGTTCTAGCCTTAATTTGCTTGCCTGCTGCTGAGTGACGCAAAACTCGAGGTAGGCATAATTGACTTGACAGCAAGAAGTGACGTCACCGACGAATATACTAGGTTCTGGTGGCCCGTTTCACCTTCCACTCTGGGGTCCACATCACCCGCCTTCTACTCGGCTCGGAACTGAACAGAACATCGCTCGCAGCCGAACCAGTGGTTCGCTTGCTCTCGCCTCCTACTCGGACTGACCATTAGTTTATATCTGTGACTGTATCATTTGAGAGGTAAACCTAATTATGATGCCTGGCACTGAAAGCCGCAAGGGAACTTTGGTCGATGCCACCTTTTTTTCACAAGATAGCCAGCTGTTTGTGATCGTATGTTGTTGAATAGGTATAGGCCCTGTGATCGGACCATTTACCTAGGGCATGTAGGCTGGTGCCTTGGCTATCAATGTTTGTACTTAACTATTGCACTAAGCCTCTTTTCTTCCTCTCCTGTTTTTTTATCTCAGTTTTCAAGTCATCTATGACTGTATGGTAGGTAACGCAACATCTATACAAACTCTTGTTCATCTTCCTGATCACAGCGGCGTGCTGAGAGCACAGTTAACGACTGAGGATTCTTAATCACCGGCGTATGCCTATCACTACCTTTGTTTGCTTGAATCATCCATTGTGCGTTACGCAGGCCCACCACTTGGTTTGTAGCAGAAATCCTCTGGTGATGCTATCGATCATCCATTGCTAGTAAACTCAGTGCGTTCGTTGGGTCACGTTCCCTATATTCGTATCGACCTACCATTCGTCTCCTTCTGTTACTTGAGGGCCGGATTGTCTCATTGCCCAGATCTATTTGAGTTAACTCCACTACCCAGTTGATTCTCGTCGAAGTTCATAGCGCGTTATTACTGTAATTTCTCGCTTTTCACGTGCGTCCACGTATTCTGGGTCCATCGAGCGCGCCTCTTCGAATGACTCAAGAGAGAGTCCTCCTTCATAGTCCCTCCGTACATGGTTGGCGGCATTCGGTTCCGGGTTTGCCTGTCACTGCGGCCTTCACAGGGAGGCCATACAGAGGGAGCATGGATGGCTTGCGCTGCACCACCCACAGCTCCATCCACACATTCATTCATTCATTATACACGTCAGCTAGAGGTTGGAAACACGTCAGCTACTGTGGCAATACATAAAGGAAAAGGAAAATAAATACAATGATTGCACGCCATCTGAGCTACCAGCAACGGATAGGCATCGTTCCGGCAAGCTACCAGCCGGTTGTTAGGCAAAACGAAAAATCATCATGTTCTACGCTACGAAACGAGATCGTAGATGGAGGAGGAGGCTAATAGGGATCGGGATAGACAAAGAAACTCACATCAGGAACGCCACTGAGGTCGGCTCCTTCCCATGTCAGCAAGTGTATCCAGTCAAACGTGTTCACCGTCTTTTGGACCCCAACCAGGGAGCCGTGAAGCTCCAACCGAGGCGAGCTCCGAAGTGAGAGCCTTCATTTCTCTCGACCAAGTCATCGCTTGGCCACCCCTCCTCTTCTTCCATCCACATCCCCGGTGAGCAAACAACGCACGACGTGGAAGTCGGTGGGCTGGCATGCGCAACACATGGCCGAACCATCGGAGCCTGATGCGTGAAATAACGGTGCTGAGCGGTCCATTTCCTTTTTCTGTGCCGTAACCAAGGCGTCGAACACGCTCGTTACTCACGCGGTCTTCCCACCAGATGTGAGCCAAGCTGCGAAGGCACCGATGATCGAATGTAACTAGCCTGTTTATGTCCGTGATCTTTGGGGCCAGGTTTCGCAACCGTACAGTAAGGTCGAACGTACCGCTGCATTGTAAACTCTACTCTTCAGGACGAGAGTAATGTCGCGTCGTTATAGGTGGCGAAGGTTAGCAAAAAGCACTTCGAGCTTTTGCTATACGGTTCGTGATCTCGTCTTCGATCCCAAGGGCGCTGATACAACTTCTCAGGTAGTTGAATTTTCGAACGACTTCTAGCTGATCCCCACCAAGGGTCAGCGCAGGAGACGATCCCTGCCAATCTTGGAGGAACGCTTTGCATTTCGATGGTGCAAAGCCAAGCCTGAAGCGGCTGACAGCTAGTGCTAATCTGTCCAGCGCGGCTTGGCACTTCTGGGAGCTGTCACAGATGAGGGCAATGTCGTCGGCATACTCCAAGTCAAGAAGTCGTTCCTCTGGGAGTAGCTCCACACCTTCCAAGTCATGTACTGTAAATGCAATCTCCACACACCCCATCTCCAGTGTAAACCCGAAGGAATAAGACCGGGAGACATATGGATGGGCGCCACGTTTCATCAGCGGAGCCGGCCGACACTCTTTCAACGTGCACAGCAGCAGCGTTCCTCTTTGTCTAAAGTGGGAATCATGCGTACCAGACGTACACAATGCGGTGGGTGGACCGTAGTCCGCCTAGGACGGCCACGAATACCGTGCACCCCATCGCTCCAGCAACGATTCAATCTCCTGGAGCCAGTAATCGAGATGGAGTGTGTTAGACAGGTAGGCACCTTGTCAACACACATCGAGCGCAGCCGCACCAAGGATGTCACCAACCAACGTAGAATTCGAGAGCAAGCAAACACACAAACTTGACATAGAAATGAACAAACCAAATAAAGAGGAATGATTTTCATCCAGATTGAAAAGACCTAGTTTAAATGTAAGCTGGTTTAGCTCAACTGCGGCGAAGAAACATCAGGAATGCATCATCAATCTCCGTACGACGCCCTTGAATATAACACCCACTAATCGCTTGAGCCCAGAAAGTTGTGGTTTGCTATTACTCACTCATCGATTTCCTGGTGATTTGAGTGGACTGGTCGTCACGATCCCAAAAATTACGATTCGTGACGCCCCGACGAAACGCAACACACTTAGCAGAGGGCATACTAACTAATCCTACTTTCTTCATGTTAATAGGTGTATCTTCGCTCTAATCAAATCACTCAGAGCACCGCGGACCAATCATCTTCCTGTCGCTTGAACACTCTTGGCAGCTGTGCATTTTTGATTTCGTATGGGCTGACCCTACTGAATCGCATATCCATGTTCTTCGACTGCTTTCAGTCGATTGACCAGCTTTCTATATCTTCTACATTCTTGCCGGTTATCCTTTGCATCTAAGTCTTCTCTTTTTGTGTTGAGAATTATCCTAAAGCACATAGGAACCTTGGCTACGAATGTTTCTTAATTTCTGTTATTAATATTGCTATCGAAGAAGTTCCCTGTGCTTTTGTGATTGATGCGCACAGATGGAACAGATTGATCACATCAGTAGGACTTGCAATACTTTCTTTTGTGATCAGCGCAATCACTGACGCAACGACGTGGTGAGAATTAGACGTGCCCACTTGCATTTATATTGCGAAGCACCTGAAAGCGGCATCTGCTACATCGCAAGCCAGGTGACTTCGTTAGAAATGTTCCCACACACAACTGACTAGCAAGTTGATCGCTACAGAAGCCCCTTCTAATTACGTGCTTTAAACATCTATCCGTCGCCAATGGATATGTCGACCGCACAAATAAAATTTCACGCTATCGATATCCGCTACAGCTGCACTTGATATGACTGCTGTTCGAAAGTACTACACAACTGTTTTATGCATTCCGTAACAGTCAGCAGTGGTTACCTGACTGATGGTGACGATTCTCTACCCATCGCTGCGCTTTGAAAATTAATAATTGCCATAACTAGCTTGTTACTACTTACTGACGATGCTGGCTCGGCACCGGAGTTTCGTAATTCATTGGGAAGTTGTAACAGTCTGTGCTTTTTTCGAATCTGTTCTCATGTTTCCTTGATTCAGTTCAAGTTAACAACTGTGATCCTGTTGCCACGACTTACCTCATCAGAATGACAATAAATAACAATTATAAGATGAGATTGTATGCAAATAGGATACAATGAAAGCGGAATCAGAATAGAAGTGCACAAAACTAATCGGACTGGAATGGCAGTTAGCAGTTAGATGCAAGAAATCTAATGCAGGAACGCCACTGACTGCGCCATGTCTTATATGCTCCCCAACCACTGGTCACCTCACGGCTTTACCCAAATTGGTGCAACCACGATGTGTAGTGCACGCCTAGGAAGTCGGTCAACTGGTATACAGAGGATATGACCTAGCCAACGGAAGCGGTTGAATAAAAACCGCTAGTGTGGCACAGAAGGTTTCTTGCCAGAAACCAGCTGTCGGACCTCAGCATTGCTCATCCGGTGTTTATACCAGATGTGCGCAATATTCCGCAAGCACCGGCCAAGCGTTTAATGTCTTCGCTGAAAAATCGCCAGCTCTCTGCTCCACACAGTAAGACCGGACTTACAGCAGCTTTATAAACCCTACCTTTCACTGACGTGCCACACGGGCCATGCTGATACACGAGGTAAGTTCCGCAGTGATGTGACCACCAGAGGGGACGCAGCTACCAAGGTAAGTGAACCGATCCACCACTTCTAGTGGCTGTTCGGTGGCGCATCAGTCCGGTCCTGCAGTAGTACTTTGCACTGTGAAGGTGTAAAGTACATGCGGAAGCTTACTTCGTTGGTGTTCATTTCTGATTCGAATATGCGTAGCCGCTGTTTCTACTCGCCATCGACCAGATGGACCACTCGCCGATATGAGTCCCAGGTTGAAACCACCGCCCAATGCTTTTATCCCCAATGCAACAGCTACTTGACAGTGTCGCTGCGGCGGATTTCTCTCAGACTTTCATCTTCGATTAGCATTGCCGTTTTTCACTGCGGATATATGTATTCGTTGCGGGATCCACACACTTTTTCTTTCTTGTTACGTTTCCCTTCTCCATCCTGGGGACACCCATGCTCTGCACTGCACCTTCTTAATTGAGATGCCGAAGGGGATTACTACGAAACGCTTCTATCCGGTCTAACAGTCACTTGAATAACGCCCCAAAATTATCAGCTGATGTTTGGCGACAAGTCCCCTGGTTTCACTTTATATCCTCTTTTGAACTTGCATGCTACTGCCAAATCAAGGCTGTTGGCGTGCCACCGCTTTATCAACGAAACACTGAGTTATGACAATCCATCTCTGATGGACGATGTTACGGTCAGTCACAATAGTGTCTCAATCACGAGTTTACTGGAGGTGTTGCGCACAAACCCTTTCCCAGACTCGTTTGAGTCAGTTTGTCAACTGCTCCGTGCATAGAAGTACGGTGGATTCGGCTGCATCAACAAACGTCGCTAAAGTGGTAGCAATAATAATGATATTAATACTAATGGCATTTCACAGTCACGGACAAACAACGAATTCTTCTAACAGAGTTCTTCTAAACCCAGACATGAATGCAGGAGCGCCACTGACTTCGCGAGTGTCATATCCGATTGGATATCCAACCACTGATGTGGCTGATCCAAAGGATTCCTCTCTCTCTCCACCCTAACCTCTTTTCTGAGGGTTTCGTATCTTTACTGAAAGCAGTTGAATTAACCAACCCCTTGTTCCTGTGTCACATAATCGATTAGATCAGTTGAATCAGAGTGTTTGCCTTCACGGTGGCCGAAAATGCCTATTGTTCAGTTGCAGCAACCAAATTGCCAAGCTCGGCGAACAAATGAACAACTAAATCGTCAACCTGGACTACCAGTATACAGAAACATTTTAATGTGTTATATTTTACGCTTAAACTTGACGATCAGTCTTTTCAATCCTCTGTGTGTGTCTCCTTGTGCCACTCGCTGCTCTACCGTCTCAGTGGGTTCTCTTCACCCTGCTCCGATTCTTTCACAGCTGTTCGCTTGGTCGGTATTTGGCGCGAAGCCAGTGGTTGAAGTTCCGGAGAATGATGAAGACTTATACAACAAAACCGCAGACGAGGTCGCCAGTGATTTGGCTCACCGGGATCTCATCATTAAACACGGTCTGCTCAGCGAGCTGACGGATTCTGCATCACCCGTGGATGACGCTGTATGCAAGAAGGCTCTTACTGTGGACGAATATATCGCCGCTTCTACGCCACTTTCACGTCTCAAATCGGTGTTTTGCTCGGAGTAAGTTGTTTCCATTCATTGCCGTTATATGCTCTTTTCTGTCAAAGCTGCGACACCAGCAGCATCATGTTAGTAACGGTTGGCGGCATCCGGTTCCGGGTTTGGCTGTCACTGCGGCCCCCACAGGACACCTGCCCCTACAGAGGGACCATGGGTAGCTTGCGCTTCACCACCCATGGCTCCACCAACACACCCCATATCCAGTGTAAATCCGAAGAAATAAGAGCGGGATGCATGTGGATGCGAGCCACGTTTCATCAACGGAGCCGTCCCACGCACTTTCAACAAGCAGAACAGACGCATTCCGGCTTAATGGATAAATTATGCACACCAGACGTACACAAGGCGATGGCTGGGCCGTAGTCCGCTCCAAACTGGATGGAACCACTGTTTGAGCCTAGCACCGCCAGGAGGACGGTCCACCCCGTCCCCATCCAGCAACGTTTCACAGTCCCATTTACCTAATGAATAACGAAGTGGGGAGTACTAGACAAGTAGGCACTTTGTCAACATTCACATCAAGCGCAGCCTCATCGGGAATATCAAACAACCAACCTAGAATTGGAAGATGAATAAACACACAAAATTGACACAGAATATGCGCAGAGCAAATCTAACAAAGTGGAATAACTTTTATCCCGATTTAGGTGGAAGTCGGTGTAGCCCAGCTGCGATGAGGGAGTATTGCATCATCAACCGCAGCATGAGGCACCAGATGAATACGAGAGAAGATGAAAGGAAACAAACATACAAAGTGGACGGTAAATGTGTCTTATATAGCCTTCCTGTGTCAGTTCAGCTTAGCTCCCTATGACGGAATGAACAAGTTGAGCCCCAATTGGTATAGTCCCCCAGAAACAAGCTACGTTCCCTAATTGATAGACACAGAGACTTGATGCGGTGTTTGCAGACCGTACTTCATTATAATGGATCGTCCATCCCATGTTACAGCAAGTTCCATTGAGGGTCTAAGCTCATCTGGGTTTGCCTGTTAATTCGTTTGGTTATTCGGTTTTTTTCTCACTCACAAAAACTCGATCCACTTATTATATACGGCCAGAGTCAACGACAGACTGTTAGTCGGAGAGGGAAGAAAGATGCTTGAAGCACGTGCTTTGTGCGGCGGCATTGGTGTATGGAATGGAGCCATTACTTCAAGTCAAGTCAGTATAAGCTTTATGCAACCAAAAGGGTGCATTTTCAGTCGTTTACACTATAAACTGTAAATTTACCAAAGGGTTACCATTAAAAATGCCAAGTTTACAAATGAGGATGCACTGTCATGCATCGATCGAGAAACAATCCTCAAATGATGGAATAAACCTTCGGGATTTGTATCCATTGAAAACGGAATTTTGTATCAGGGATCGTGTGCGATATCTTGCGCGCACATCCAAAGTTAGAAGGAGTAAAGGGCCTTAGTGACCTTGGAAGTTGATTTAACAAAATACCTGTCGCTGTACTCTTGCAACACTGAGATATATACAGTAGATAATGTAAAAATGATGTTCGGCGGAAAAGGCAACGGCCGATTTAAAGGCCCCGCCACAATGGCTATCTTGTTCGTTCCATTTGTGATCTCCACTCGTTTGCTTGAGCGGCTACCACTTGTTAATTGAAATGTAGTTTCTCGTGCTTTGTGCATCAGTCTGTGCAACGTCTTTGTTGTTCTACTTTCACTCCCGGTGCCCCCAAGTGTAATAGAAAAGGAGACTGAGCTCGGTAAAGCTGGCTCGAGGGCACTACGGTTGCCTCTGATCATCAGTAGCTGCATCGGAGTGGCCGTCGGGGCTGTACGTCTGGTATCCGCTGGTGATGAATTCGTTCGTTCCAACTATCTGACCATTTGGCGCACACCAGAAATGGCTAAGGTATGTTGACTGACGTCCCTCTTCCACCAGAATAATTATTGTTCCATCTCATTGTGAACAGTGTACCCCTAAGATTTCCGTATCCCTGATGCACCGATCCAGTAGAGCCAAGGTTGGCAGTAGTCATTGAGACATTTTGAATACACACACGCATGTCCTATCACCATTGTGTGTATACGTATGTATGGGCATATGGATGTCCCATAGTTGCCTCAGTGGAGACATAATTGAGTCAGACTTTGCGCTGGATGGTAGTGTTGATGAAGTGTTTGCGCAACGGCCACCGCCAACTCTGGTTCCAGAAGGGGGCCGAGGGGCCATCTTCGGATTTGAGTAGGGCACAGGCTAATCACCGCTTTTTACACATCTCGTACACATGGTTTGTTTTCGTTTTAGTGTCATGCATGTGCCTGTGAAATGAGAGTGAATGCACCTTGGCTTCAGATGGTGTGTCATCATCATCATCATCATACATGTTAGCTAGAGGTGGGGAACACCTCAGCTACTGTGCCGCAATACAAAGAAAAAAGGAGAGAAAAAATAACAACTGGTGAAAGCTGGCTGAGCTACCGGTAACGGATGGGCATCGTTCCGGTAAGCTACCAGCCGGCTGCTGTGCACCCAAAAAATAATTATTATGCAAAATTATATAAGGCTAAGTAATGAGCTCGTGGTTGGAGGAGGAGGCTAAGAGGGATGGGGTGGGACAAAGAAACTCACAGCACGAACGCCATTGAGGTCGGCTCCTTGCCATATCAGCAAGTGTGTCCAACCAAACGTGTTCATCGTCTTTCGGACCCGAACCAGGGAGCCGAGACGCTCCAACCGAGGCCAGCTCAGAAGTGAGGGTCTTCATTCCTCTGGACCAAGTCATCGCTTGGCCACCCCTCCTCTTCTTCCATCCACACCCCCGGCGCGCAAACAACACACGTCGCGGAAGTCGGTGGGCTGGCATGCGTAACACGTGGCCGAGCCATCGGAGCCTGATGCGTGAAATAACGGTGCTGAGCGGTTCATTTCCTTTCCTGTGCCATAAACAAGGCGTCGAACACGCTCGTTGCTCACGCGGTGTTCCCACCAAATGTGAGCTAAATTACGAAGGCACCGGTGGTCGAACGTAACTAGCCTCTTCAGGTCCGCTGCTCTAAGCGGCCAGGTTTCACAACCGTACAGTAGGGTCGAACGTACTGCTGCATTGTACACTCTACCCTTCAGGGCAAGAGTGATGTCGCGCCGGCGCCATAAGTGGCGAAGGTTAGCAAAAGCGCCCCGAGCTTTTGCTATACGATTCGTGATTTCATCTTCAATCCCACGGGCGCTGATACAACTTCCCAGGTAGTTGAATTTTTGAATGACTTCTAGCTGATCCCCACCAAGAGTCAGCGATGGAGGCTGTCCAGACCCAGCTTTGAGGAACGCTTTGCACTCCGATGGTGTAAACCAAAGCCCGAAGTGGCTGACAGCCAGTGCTGATCTGTCCAGTGCCCCGTGGCACGTTTGTAGGCTGTCACAGATGAGGGCAATATCATCAGCATACTCTAAATCAAGAAGTCGTTCTCCTGGGAGTAGCTCCACACCTTCTAAGTCGTGTCCTGTGAACGCGATTTCCATGACTTCGTCAACAGCGAAGTTGAAGAGGAAAGGTGACAGCGGGCATCCTTGTCTCACGCCGCTGGAGATATTAAAGGGCGACGACAACTTGCCGTAAGCCCTCACTCTGCCCGAGCTACGCGCAGATAATGCTCGGAGAAAGTTCACATATTTCTCAGGCACACCTTTCCTGAGTAGACAGTCCCAAAGTGCATGTCTATCCACCGAATCGAATGCACCTTTGATATCGAGGAACACGACAACGGTGGGCCGCCAGTATGTGTGACGGTGCTCCAACAACTGACGCAAGGTGAAGATGTGGTCAATGCAGCCACGACCTCGACGAAACCCGGCTTGCTTTTCACGAATATGGCTTTCACGAGTGCCAGTCAGTCTGTGAAGGATGACAGAGGCAAGCAATTTGGAGGCGATGGAGATCAGACTAGTTCGCTATGGTTGCCGGATTCCGAACGTGAGCCTCCCTTGAAAATTAGGACTATGACGGAGCGGCTCCAGTCGGTTGGGACATTTTCCTGCTCCCACAGTTTCACTAGTAACTCGTATATATCATCCACAAGAGCAGGTCTCCCGAATTTAATGTGGGCTTTATTTAACTTCAACAGTGCGATCTCACGTTCGGCTTTTGAGCGAGAGGGTGTATCCAAAGGTACAGCCCAGGGAGCTAGGCGATCAGTGACCGGTGAGTAATCTAACAATTCCGACCGATTAAATTGCCTTTCAAAATGTTCAGCCCAACGCTCCAAGCGTTTTGACAACTTGTGGATAGGTTTTTTACTCTCGTCCCGTATAGTTTTACTAACACCAGGTCTCCTGCTGCCCGTTTCCCGTATAAGACGGAATAACTCACGATGGTTACCAAGGGCAGCGGCCATTTCCATCTCTGTTGCACGACGAGACCACCAGGATTCGCGGTCTCTCTTCAGGCTAGCACGGAGTTTTGCTCGGAGCTCTTTGCGAGTTTCATTGTGTTCGCTTCCAGCCGGAATATGCCGGCGAGCATCTATAAGTTCCAGAGACTGTGAAGAGACCCAATGTCCATGTTGGCGATTAGACATACCACATGAGGATTTGCCTGCTGCTAGTAAGGCCTGTTGCATATGAGACCAGTGAGCTTCAATTGCATCCAGTGAGCGTTTATCCAACTCGGATGACAGCGTAATTTGATAGGCGTTCAGAACAGCTGGTTTCGCGCGTTGGCTGGTGTTAATGCGGTCACAACGTCGTCTTGGGCGTCCGCCAAAAGGCATCCGTAGGTCAGCACATACAAGTGCATGGTCGGTGTCCACACTTGTGCTCCAAATCGAGCGACAGTTCTGGACGCAGCCTCTCCATCGGTAATTTGATCGATTTACGTCCATAGCTGGTGTGTGGCTGGTGGGCGCTAAGTCACCCTCCGGCGGGTGCTGTGTCGGAAATTAGTGCTCGCAAGAAACAAGCGAGCATCCTCACACAAATGAAGTAACCGCTCACCGTTATCATTACGGGAGCCTATACCATGTTGGCCGCCCAGATGCAGCTCATCTGTGGATAAATTTCCAACTTGAGCGTTCAGATCCCCAGCCAGCACTACAGTGTCCGAGCTTCTTCTGTGGCGAAGGAGCTCGGTCATTTGGCGGTACAAGTCGCTTTTTACCGAGTCATCACTATAGTTTGTGGGCACGTAGGCAGCGATGATGGCTAGACACCTATTAGTCTCGCGCGACTTCGAAGCTGTGAACAAGCCAGCCAATCGCACCGCACACAGCCGGCTACTGATTGGAATCCAGTCAACTAGAGCAGCTTCGTTCCGGGGACTCAGAGCAATACCAACATCGGCTTGGCCGATGCTTGCAGCCGCATCGTCACCTGCTAGGCGCAATGAGAAAAGTGCTGCTAGAGTCACCTGAAGGGGATCGCAGAGTGAGTACAGAGCTCGAGTCTTGTAGGTCGGTCTCCGAAAAGCAGCAGATATCGATAGATAGTGTCTCTAGTATTCGGGCAAGTGCTGCCTGTTATCCTATCTGAAGCAATGTGCGAACATTGAGGCATGCCATTCTGAAGGAGGATCGAGGGCTCCAAATGGAAGCCGATGAACTGGAATGGCCGCTTACTTGGACATGGGCATGTTGACAGTGCAGGAATGACGCTCTGCGTTCACATGTGAGCTGAAACTAAAAGACAAGCAACTATTGAAGCAAGGTGGGGGAGGGGAGAGAATTGGGGGGTTGAAAACAGGGGGGAAAAAACTAAAGCTGGAACGGGAGGATAAGGGTGAAAAAGTGTAAGAAGAGGAATAAGAAGATGGAAGGCTTGAGCGGTACCATGCAAAACCCTATCCGACATACTCGATGCAGCAGATAGAGCACAGCTGATTATCCTCCGTGGTGGCCATAGCATCAGACATTTGTTTACAGTGAGATTTGTAGTATTGCGTGGGCAGGATACTGTCAGGCTGCCCGGGCCTAGACAGGAGAACGATTAGGGTTCTCAACCAAAGCCTTTGGTTCAAAAACCTGTCCGCAAGGCAGCGGGTTTGGCACTGGACTACAAGGAGTCCGTTTTAAGGAATAAGGAGCCACCCTCATTCCAACCCCCAACCTGGAGGACCAGGAGGCTGAGTTTGTCTGGCCTCTAACCATTGACCAATCTGGTATGAGTGGCTCTGAAGGTGCAAAAAAGCACCACCCAGTATAGCTCAATGGCTCACTGAGGCACACAAACCATCGCACCACGGTAAGGTCCAGTCTCATTGCGATGGCAGATGGTGTGTAGCCCCAGTCTTATTCCGCCTGGGTTCACACTGGTCATAAAGCGTATGAGGGTGTCATGCATGCCTTCTCTGTGTGGCCGTTGCTGTACATCCACAGTTTTTCGCTCAGTACGTCAAGTCAAAGGCTTTGACTGAGGATGCTCTTCTTCGGTTTTTTATTACCAGAATATGTGTCTCTAAACTCTCCCCGACCAGGGAGGGCGGTTGTCTTTTTTGCCGTTACTGCCTTCTACTCACCTGTTTGACAGCTGTCTGCGATGACTGCGCGGTGTTCACAAAGTGCACGCATTACGTCACGTTTCTCCACTCCTCCCCCGTTAGTACGGTGATTATGGTGCAACAAAAGGTAGAAATCAGCGCATACTATTGGTGCGCGCTGCCTTGGATATGGACTGAAACAAATTCATTCCTCGTACTTTTTGGTGAACTGCCGCGAAATACTTCCTAAACTCCACGTTACGGCGCATTTTTCGAGAATAGACGCATCAACTCCCCCATACTTATGCTGCGGAGGACGTTCGCGCGGTTTGATCCCTCTGTTTGTTCGCAGTTGCTTAACACATACGTGTGGCCTTATGTGGAATACGCAATCCAGACCTGGCAGCCCTGGCATAACCAAGATCTCGCAGCACTCGAGACTCCCCAGCGAAGAGCCACACAGTACATCAGAGTTGTTCCATCTTCAATACCAACTTAGGCTGAGAACCCTAAGATCGTACAGCGACCGATATCGGCGCCTACGTGGCGACCTAATAATGACCTATTAAATTTTAAGGAACTCCAACCACGTCTGCCGCCACCTAATGCAATTTAATCACAAGGCAAATTTGAGGGCCCACCAACTCAAGTTAGTGACGAAGTACAGTCGGTTGGAATGTCGGCGAAACTTAGAACGCTCTCCAAAATTACGTTGTTTCTGCTCCCACTTTATCATGTATTTAAAACACATGACGCTACCCTAACCCACCCACATTTCGAGGTATAGCCGACAGACAACATAATGTGACGAACGTTGCACAACCTGCACTAACCTACACACAATGGAGTTTGGCTCATTTTTGCATCCCGCTGTGTGAACAGTGTGATGAGTGCATCAAATCAGTTTTTATTTTATCACTTTGTTTTCCGTTCACCCCGTTGTGGTGCTCATTCTGGTCATCCTACAGGATTTGTTAAGCATTCCCTTTTTTTTACTCACACTATACCAGTGTTCCAATCCATTCAAGTGTCATTCGTTCACGTTAGGTTGCATATTATATTGCAAAGTAGGGCCGCGAATTCCATTCGACCATGTACAATTACTCGTGCCCGTGTCGTGTTCGCAAGGTATATCCGTCCCCCCTTGCTTTTGACGTTTTGAGTTTGGTCCCTCGCTCCCCCCACTTTCACTCTTCATGCGTATTGACCTCTCTCTTAGTTTATGGCTGATGCTCGGTTGTCGACGTGCGAAACTGTAACTCTCTCAAATGTCCCCCCCCTTATCATTTTAGCGTGCCGCTGCGGACTATGCTTCGCTGAGGGCTCTTACGCTTGGCTTGACTACCGGTTTCAAAGTCTGTTTTCTAACCACTGGCTGCTAGTATGTTTCGCGGTTTCTCCTTTTGCGTTTGTTCTGTTATCACCTGCACGAAGTGTTGGGTAAATTTTCTCCCTTACACACACACACAACACGCTGTTTCTTTAGACGTTGTTGGTAGTCCAATAATTCTTCTGTCGATTTCACAGAGCGTAATCGATGACCTCAAGCCATCTAGGGTCACATGTTTACATGGACATCCGAAAGGGTGCCCTGCTGCATTGGACGATCGGCTTATTGTGATACCGCATAGCTAACTCAAACGTACGACAGACCTGTCGCGTCTCACCATCAGGTTGTTTGACCAAGCGTATTCTACTATGTTGTGCTCTACCATGAATTATCATGAATTGACATCTTTCGATTATCGAGCACCGCGGGATACAAACATTGTAGTCACGAGAGTGGTTGTTTAAGACACTGGTCTGATGACAAGTGTTGTGCTGGCCGTTGTGTGCTGAGGACATCAAGAGATGCTCACGTTTTAGCACCGATATTTGCGAATTATTACTCATATCCAATGGAAGAATGGAATAAGTAATACCTCATTAGAGTGCCTGTTAAACTCGAGCCACTTCCGCTGGCGCTAAGCCATGGGCTCCGCATTGCGGTCGGCTACCACAGCAGTTGTTGTTCGTCAATGTTTCGCCTGTTCGCGTGAAATCCGGACGTGGCCAATAACGTGGAAGAAAAGCATGGAAAGACCCCTCATAAGAACTGAACTGGCTTATTAGCTGTGGGAATTGTGAGATGAACGGTCCTGATGAACTGCCGTCCTCCCACAATGCTCCCTCCCCATTTAGTGTCCCGAAGTGGTTCGCTACTGTCTTGGCAAGTGAGGATATTCGTCCACAATCGCACCGGTTTCTTCCACGTCACAGTCATTTTGGAAAGAGTAGAGTTGATCTGGAAGAGATAGTATTCGATTGGATATCATTTGTGCATTGCTGCCTATGTCTTCCTGTTTCGTTGCAGCGCCCTCCCACTCGTGCTCAGCACTATGCACGGAAGGTCGAGCTTTTGGGAATACGCGGTCGGATGGGGTGCGTACGTCTTTCAGTATTTTTCCTCTTGATCCTCATTGCATTGACTTTGGGATTCGTTTTTCGTAGATCAATACTTATGATTCACAGACGTTCAAAAAGATGAATAGCGTTGGCCGCTGGAGCGTCGGGCGGTGTTTGGCGGTCCACGATCTCTAGGCTCAAGGCCACCACCCATGGCGCTCACGCCCCCTTCATTACTGCTTCCATAGGGTTGAGTCGGAGATGAAGTCAGCTCTTTGATTTAACATCTCATCTGACGAGTGATTCCTGTATAAAACATGTTTCATACGTAGAGCCTTCGATGCGTACTAAGCGTACCAGTCCCAGTAGCGATAAATGGCAAAATGGAATCCGCCACGATGCGTTTTTGATGAATACTCGCTCCAAATATTCTCAGCTTTCATTTCCTTAATGTGACAGTTGAATTCACAGGACAATAAAACTGGTTTCATCGGCAACTGTGCTCTTTTCTGCAGAGACTTTCGTCGAAACGCGTCACCACAATCTCTCTCCTGTTCCATCCATTTCAGGTGCCACATGCTCCATCTACTGCATGTATAGAGGCCGCAGGCAAATGTTTGCAGCTGGTCTGATCGCATTCGTCCCCGGACTTATTTACGGTTGTTTGAATCTGATTGCGGTCCGATACCTGGGCCTTACTTTTGAAGATTTGTATCGCGCCCATGTTAGTACAATTCTGCAACATAAAGTAACTTGAATATTTTGGCTGTTTTCAAGTACGCACAAATGGGGTGGTTCCAGATGTTATATCTGTTTGGTGGCTTTCACAGTTTTGGTGCGGTCGTCGCAGTCATCCATCTGATATACGCACAGATGTAACGTTTGAATGGGCCGCTTCTTTATCTGTTTTCTGTGCGCATAAATCATCGCCGCTATTCGCCCGATCTTGGACTCCGGCAATCAAGGAGTAACTTATTTTCAAAAGGCCATCTCAACTTAAAGTGCGTAGGACCAACCTGTTTTTTTCATTTATTTTTTACTTTCTGACCAAAAGCAGTTATGGATGACTCTCGCTCCTGTCTCCCACATGTACGCCCATTTCTGTTTACATCCTGGTGTGCACTCCTCGACGTAACTATCATGCCTAAGATATGCTACTGTTCGTAGTAATTCGTGCTTCGGCGCGTAACAGACAACATAGCATTTGATCAGAAGTTCGAGTTTAGTGCAGTGAGCCTGTTCAGCATATCAACCAGCAGGCTGACATCCACGCTTTAAAGCACAGAACATTCGTGTTCTCATGATAATTCCAATTACCGCTGATGTATCGCCTTCGTCGTCGAACTAGTCAACCCTTTTATTCCACGTTGCATCGTAATAGAGCATTTTGTCTCTCATGGAACCTTCAGTTTAGTTCGCCCGATAAGACACCGACTATATCGCTAAAGGATATTTGCAGTTTTATGTGTGGCCGCACATTTATACCGTGCACTGACACTTCGCTGTATTTAGACAATAATTAACCTGAGAATGAGTAATAGCAGGAGATCGAAGAAGCCGTGTCATTCATTATACACCTTAGCTGCTGGTTGAAAACACCTCAACTATTGTGCCGCAATACAAAATACAAGAAAGGCAACAACAGAGGCACGCTGGCTGAGGCCCCAGTCACGGATGGACATCGTTCCGACTGTCGACTGCGGTGCAGCAACAAGTTATATTTTGCCTAACGAGTGAGATCGTGATTGGAAGGGGATGAACAAAGAAACTCACAACACAAACGCCATTGGGGTCAGCGTCCAACCAAACGTGTTCATCGTCCTTAGGGCCCCAGTCAGGCAGTCAGGATGAACCAACCGACGACGGTTTCGAAGTGAGGGCTTTCATCCCTCTCGACCAAGTCATCGCTTGGTCTGCCCTCCTCCTCTTCCAAACGCACCCCTGGCGCGCAAACAATGCACGTCGCGGGAGTCGGTGCGCAGACATGCGCAACACGTGACCCATCCATCGGAGCCTGGTGCGTGATATAATGGTGCTGAGCGGTTCACTCGCTCTTCCTGCACCAAATACGCGACGCCAAACATGCTCATTGCTCACGCGGTACGCCCACCAGACATGAGATAAGCTGCGAAGATAGCGATGATCCAATATGGCGAGCCTCTTTATGTCCGTCGACCTGATGGGCCAAGTTTCACAACCATATAGGTGAATTGAACGGACGGCTGCGTTACAACCTTCAGTTACCTAAGTGACCTTTTAGCGTTAAGGCACGTACATCCTACGAGCAGCTACCTGTCTTGCGATAAGACGTCATCAGCGACAATACATCCTTGCAGTTTTCACTAGCCCTTACCTCATATATACTTCAGCGTCATTACCCACTTTTGGTGTGCGGCTCTCGGGGTCGAGGCGGAAAACGCACCGTTGGCGATGGTCGTGAGCCATGTCCGGTAGCGTTTCGGATCAAACACAGCGGGTCGTGTGGATCTCAATCTGAAGAATGAAACTGACGCAAAATGCACCCATGTTAACGACCGGTGACTTCACTTTCCGTTTCCAGGTTAAGAACAGACTTTTATCCATCCGGGGTTAGGTAAACAAAACAGGTCTCTCCATGGTAACTAGAGCACGATCCTGATCACCATCCGCATAATTCAACCCTGTCGACATGTTGGTGTCACCAGACCTAAACACGACTCAGCCTCTCAAACCGCCTCACTGCCATGAAGGAGATAAGTACTATGTTCTTCCAGAAAAAAAGCTTCATGCACAAAACTTATCAGCGTTTTACATTGGCTCTGCGGATGTAACCAGACGACATGAATTTAAAATTACAAGCAGCTGGTGAAAAGTACAATATGCATGTATGCCACTCATGTAAACATTCACGCGTGGTACCCTCGACTTTCTTTGAGTTCACGAGAAAATGTGATACGTACGGTAAGGGGAAACCGAACCCGTAAATTCTACGCTCGTAAACGAACAAGGAAAGAGTCGATAAATCATAGTGCAAAACATGAAAGAGATCAAAGTTGTCACATACGCTGAAATGCTTAGTAACAGTGAACTCTACCACAGACCCTGGGCAGGCCAATGCATCTGGACATGAGTTTGGTGGAACTCACAAACATTGTAGCGCCATTTTCGAAGAGAAAATTGCAGGTGAACAGTACAGCCAAGCTGCCACTACTTGAAGAGCAAAGTTCCGAAAGCATTTTGATTCGCAGGACAAATTGATACTCTTCTTTGTATGCGGGATGTTTTGTTAACATGTGTTGGTCATGATGTTAGATTGTGTGATAAAATACACCAAGGTGACTTAACAGTGAGTGAACTGGGGGGTATGATGTGTATTGGCCGGATAAAAGTAATGAGAATACCCACGCAAAACGTTACGACAACATTAGTCAGTGCCGGAAGCTTAAACGATCTTCACACCGGACACAGGAATCGGTGACCGACTGGAACTGTGAGTGGCTGGCTGGCTGGCAAACTCGGATGCGCGTCGACTAAGCGAACGAGGGCCGTGTTCTAACGCGAACAAACGGCCAGATATTGCAAACCAGGCAAGTAGAACGTGTTCGCATTGGTTAAGGCAAGGACGATAAAATTGGGAGATCACGGTTTCAATAATAATAATGTATGGTTGACCTACAAATCGAACCGTCCTTTGCATAGAATAAACATCGTCTGCTTTTCGTTTCACGTTTGGATTGGGTGCTAGACAGAGCGGACCGTAGGTAAAATAGTAGTACCGCAGTCAAAGCAGCAAAACATGTGGCCGCTGACGACCAGGGGGCGGAAAGTGTTTGTCAAAATCCGAAGTTTGTCAGCGCGAAAAAGGGAATGGAGGCATTGTGAAGAAGGGAGCGGGACGACGACGTCAACCACCCAAGTTCCTGCAAAACACTAAGCGCCGTATAGATGAGTCATCAGTGGCCTAACGTAGCATCTTCAGCGCATTCCAATCTAATAAGCTGAGAGGGATTGGGAATCATCTCGATGTATAAAGAAAATAAAGGGAGAGAGGATTACTTCCACTAACACTCCAATCATTACGAAGAGTGGATGCATTTTCAACGTCCAATTCGGTTAAGATAAACGGGCTTCAGAAATAGTAGGTCATCAGACTACTGATTGAGCACCGTTTGCAGACAACACATTTTCACATCGTCTGTGTGTTTTCTCGCAGTACATATGTTTTCTGATTGATATCTCCGATGTGACAATCAGTTGTCTGCAAACGGTGCTCAATCAATATATATAGGTGAGAAAGCCTATGGTTCGCTGAGGCTTGTGATGGCTAGATCCTGATAGATGCTCTACCCACTGATACTGTTGTGCCATTCGCTCATGTCCTGGACGCCTCCTCGTGTCGACCGATGGGTGGGAGCTGGGTTACCCCCTTCTGCCTGCTAAGATCCAGGACACCAAACCGCATGAGTCAGTGAATTGACCATGTGCTACACCCGCTGCCTTTCGGGTGTTCCTTTAATCGAAGGCTTTGGCTGAGGACCCGAGTCGTTCTCCTGTCAGGTGTGGTGCCCTGGCAGTATCCTAATCCATCCTTTTCGGAGGTTAGGAAGTGGTCGATGACCCTCTTCCCGTAAAGCCTAGCCATGCGAGACAACAGGTCTACGGGTTATAAGTTCACAGCTCGATTGGCGTAGACCATGAGCTACACGCATTGTCTCTGACGGTGGGAGGACATCTCCGGGTGCTCCATGGTTTGTTACTGTCCGTCTCAATCCAGCCAGCCCCTGGTCAAATGGGTGCAAACCCGCCAAAACCCACCTGCGTTAGGCCGTGGTCGCAGGTGTATCCTACTACGGTTACAAAACATATATACATCGTTCCAGTACCTCAAAGGCTGCGTGTGACAGCCGTCATGCAGATCCCAATGTGTCTGCAATCACATTCCTCAGCCGGATCTGTTCCACACTGCCTTGTGGGTCAGGCTATTGAGCCAAAGGCTCCGGGCGGAGTCCCTCAAGCAAACCTCCTCGGC